GAGGATCAGCTCAGCCATGTCGCACGAGCTTACGCCAACCACGGTCGCAGCTTCGCATCGCCAAAAGATGAGGCTGCAGCAGCAGTGCTTGACCGCGACCCCACGGACGAACATCCTGGCATACCTCCTCGCCCACGCGACGACGACGACGATGATGACAGCGACACCTCGCCGGCCCACGAAAGCGATGATGACGACGTAGTAGAAGTCACCGCTCAGGAAGGCGAAGGTGCATCCAACGTCACAGGCCTTCAACTTATCGGCCCGCACACAGCAGTCACCGCCGCCCCCCGCATCGTCGAACCTAACCGCGACAAGCCCTCACTGGACCACACGCCAAGGAGTGGCGTGCAGCCATGGATGCGGAGCTGAAAGCGCTGGAGTCACGGGACACCTGGGTTCTAGTCGATCGTGCAGCAGTGAAGGGGAGGAGGGTGCTAAGCGGAAAATGGGTCTTCCGTGTCAAGACCGCCGCTGACGGAACTATCGAGCGTTTCAAGGCACGCTGGGTTGTACGCGGCTACGATCAGCGCCACGTACCTTCGGTCCTGTCAGCCGCCCTACCTCTGTGAGGATCCTACTCGCCATCGCTGCAGCTAAGCACCTACCACTGCGGCAGATCAACGTCAGGAACGCGTTCCTATATGCACTAGTCGATGCAACCATCTTCATGGAGCAACCTCACACCTACGGGGAAGGAGACCCCAGGGTCTCCCAGCTAAAGAAATCCCTCTACGGCATAAAACAGGCACCGCGTCTCTGGCAGCAACACCTACACTTCTGGAAATCGGCTTCAGGCAGTTGCCGAACGACCCGGAAATGTACCGCCTTCACTTCAACGGCGATTACATCCTCCTGACAGTCTACGTCGACGACCTGCTGTACACCGGCACCTGCAGCAAGCTTCTGGACCAGTTCGAAGCAAATCTGGCGCAGCGCGTTGACATCACCATCAACCACAAAGTCACGCAGTTCCTGGGGCTGAACATCACTTACTCGCCAAAAGCAAGTCATCTGTCAGCTTCTAAGTTTGCAGAGCAGCTGGGGGAACGCTTCAAAATCTCACCTGCACCACTCTCAAGTCCTTATCGCACCCCCAGCGCCAACTACAAACCGGAAAACAAACCTCTGTCACCCGCAGGACTCCACCTTTATCAACAGCAACTGGGGTGCCTGCTGTTCGCCTCCGTCACCTGCCGACCCGACCTCTCGTACATCGCCAGCCAACTGGCACAGTATTCCCGCAAGCCAGGAGCAGAGAACCACCTGGACCTGGAGAGCGCCCTACAGTACATCATATCCATACCTGGCATCGGGCTCTCCTACTCCACACCGACAACAACATCTTTCAACCTCAATGGCTACGTGGGCGCAGACCACGCTGCTGACCCTGCCAATCGACGGTCACGAACGGGCTTCGTCTTTCGCCTGGAGCCAACAGGACCAATCTCCTGGAACTCGCAGAAGCAGGAACTGGTTGCCCAGTCATCGGCCGAAGCAGGGTACATCGCCTCGATAGCCGCATTTCGCGAAGGACTCTATCTGCAAGAACTGCTGCAAGAGGCGAAAATCTCAACTTCACCCACCTTTCGCCTCCACTGCGACAACCAGAGTGCCATCAAAATCGCGAACAAGCCAGGGTTCGTCAACCGCACAAAGCACATCGCGCTTCGATACTTTTTCGTCAAGGACGAAATTGACCATGGCAAGGTTGATCTCACGTACTGCCCCACCACCGAGATGGTAGCCGATTCCCTCACCAAGCGACTGCCACGTCAGCAGTACAAGCACTGCTCCGACCTCACGGGAGTAGTCAAGCGTGTCAGCCCTCTTCGCGTCCAGGAATGAAGGGGAGTGTTACAATATGAAAAATGAGTAAGGCATTCCTATATGCTGCAGGAGCCGACTCTACCGAGTACGAAGTCGAGGAGTCAGAAGAGTCGAAGCGACACCAGCAACCGTCAGATCAGGGCCTCAGAAGTCAGCGAAAAAAGGCTGATTTAGGTAAAAAGGCTGAGATTTCAGACCTTTTTTTAGAACTGAGGCTGATTTTTCAGCAATTTGTTGAAAAGAAACATGAAATTTTAATAGTTTTGTAGTGTAAAATGGCATAAAATGGCTGATTTGTCTGATTTTCAGGAAAACGTTTTGTACCAACTCTGATGTTCCAGCCTAGGCCAAAACGAATCTGAGGCCTTGCGTCAGATCAAGACCGATGCAGGCAGATACATTTGAAGTGAAAAGAGCGGGAACATGTTTGAAACGGGTTCCCGCGCCGCACGGTTGAGCTTCGCTGTAATAAGGGAATGTACCCCTTAAAGTACATGGCTAGTCTAGGTCGTTTCGTATTCCCTGTATTCTATATATAAACCCGATGTATGCATGTTGTTATTATCTCAGTCATTTTCATTCACTTTGACCTGAGGTCAACACTTCCGCTGCAACAACTACTACCCGCGATCAACCCTGAGACGATCCTTCGCTAAGTCCTGTTTAGGGGTGTAACAGTCCTCTTCGTCCTTCGTGGCATAGAGCAATTTCGATCCCAGCAAATAAGCTAGTCATGATAATTTGTGTTATATAGATGCGTTTTATGTATTAATTATGAGAGATTCGATACACCGATTTTTATAAAAATTGCCTCATCGTCAGTTATAGAGTATCCAACAAGCTGAGCTCGAACTATGGCTTCTCTGCAACGCGCAGCAACGTGTAAATTTGACATTGAACCGAAGTTCACCGAAGTCATGCATGTGCTGTCAGACAGTCATTCAGCCTAAAACTGCAACCTTAGCACAGCAGACTGCCACACTTCACCGTATGCGGCGCTTATTGCGCCTAAGGCGATTCGGTAAAGAGCTAGTTTCCGTCGATTCGCTTTCCTTGTTACGCCGAGAGTTATCGCGTAGCTTCTCCGCGTGCGCGGGTCCGTGTTCCGCCCACCCGCTCCCATCCGTACTTTCGTCAGCTGCCTGTTGCCCCACTGCGCTTCCCCGGATGCTTCCGCCGGGGCATCCGCCCCGCGCCCTTGCGCAGGGCTCTGCGTACCTATCCGCAGTGCACATCTCGCCGCCTGCTCGTACGTATTTCCCGCCAACATCCGTTTTATTCACCAACCCCGCGATTTCGATAGTAACACTCCCGTTAACGGTTTCGCTGCAGTCAACCCAACTCGCTGGTCAGAACCGAAGCGGCCTGAGAGTGCCCAGATTGAGACCGAGTAAATTAGACCACAATGATTCAAGTTTCAGCAACAATTTTAAGCCAGATGGTTTTAGGCTAAACGGCATCAGCCAAACCAGTCTTAGGCAAGGCGGTTCAGGGTTTCGGGTTTTGTGTGCCAGCTGGCAGGATGGTCCGTTACAGAGAGGCAGATCCTATGGGCGGCAGCGATTGTCAGATGCGACTGCTGACGCGGACGCGTCGGAAAGCGCTGACGTGGATCCCTTTTTTGCCAAACGACAAGAGGTTTGGAAACGGTGGGTGGGGAATAGCAGTCCGATTAGCAAGAGGGAATCCGCAGGTACGGACGATGCCGAAGCTCCTCGTCAGGCTCGTCTGTATGCCGAACCTCGGAAGCAGGCTCGGGACAGGCCCCGTAGCCAGGACGTTCGGAATGGTAGATCCAACCAGTGGCAGCAAGGAGGCGGTGACGAACAAGCGACACGTGGCGTATCCTCGAGAGACTCGAGATCCTCGCGGCGAGACCCGTCCTCGATAACAGGTTCTTCGTTACAACCCCCGTGGGAGTCTGAAGCGCCGTCGCAAAGGGGATCAAGAGTTCAAGAGGAGGAGGGCAGCAGAGGGAGTTACCGGGGGGGCGGGAGGGACGGCGGGGAGAGAAGGGGACGTGGGGACGACAGGGGGGGGGGGGCGGGGCGCGTATGAGGCGTATGGGAATGTGAGGGGGCGAGGTAGTTACGCGGAGGGAAGAGAGAGCGCTTATGGGGACGACAGAGGGGCGGAGCGAGGCGCATATGAGGCGTATGGGGATGTGAGGGGGCAAGGCGGGTACGGGGAAGGAAGAGAGCGCGATTACGGTGGCGACAGTGGGCGTAGAGGGGCGACTTTTAAGTCAGCTCAAAAGTCATATGGGGATGTGAGGAGGCGAGGTAGCTACGGCGAGGGGAAAGAGCGCAGTTATAGTGGCGACAGTGGGCGTAGAGGGGAGGGGGAGAGAGGTCGGAGGAGGGGAGAATGGGAGGGAAGTGCGGGGGAGTGGGGGAGAACAACTAGCGAAGGGAACAGGTGGAGAGGGGAGAGTGAGGGTGGAGGGTTCAAGAAGGGTCGAGGCGAGGTTGAGGGTTTTGGTAGATATCAGGGAAGGGCTCCTAGTCCTCACTCCAACAAGGGTGATTCACGGTCGGAGGATCGAGGGGATTATGAGGAGAAGAGGGTGGCGAGATACGATTCGAGCCCCATGACTGGCCGTCAAGATGTGCCACGGTGGGGAGGAGGAGGAGAAGCAGGAGGAGGAGGGGAAGCAGGAGGAGGAGGAGGAGAGGCGTTAGAGAGGCCTCGGAAGGGACGAGGGGGGTACGGGAGCGAAGGCAGGTTGGGGAGTGGGGAAGGGGAGGGAAGTGGGGACAGTGAGGGGTACGATGATGACCTGTTTGGGTGGTCATCTGCTGATGACTTGGAGGCGCAGCTACAGCGCGAGGAGCGTAGATCCGTGTATGTTCCTAGAGCACGTGGAGGCGTGGAGCAGCAGCTCAGCAGGGGCATGCGCAGGGGCATGCGCAGGGGCAGCAGGGCCAGCATGGGCACGCGCAGGGGCAGCAACAGCAGCAACAGGAATCGCACCAGCAGCAGGGAGGGCAGGAGAAGCTGTATGTGGATGCTCTCTCTCAACAGCAGCGGCAGCAATGGCAGCAGCAGCAGCAGTGGCGGCAGCAGCAGGAGCAGGAGCAGGAGCAGGAGCAGGAGCAGGAAGAAGTATCAGCATCACCCTTTGATTCTCCCACCTCCCCATCCTCTACTGCTTCTGATGCTGCTGAAAGGCAGAACTGGCTGGGCTTATCTGGGCGGAAAAAGCCGCTCTCCGCCGCCCAGAAGGAACAGTTTTTCAACGTCGCGCCGCCTGAAGGCGACCCTGAAATAGCCCCTCTAGATCCGCACTTCCCCTTCCAGTACAGCTACTCCGAAACCCCCTCCACCCCCCCGATCGGTTACCGCGAACCTCCCTTCTCCCCCTTCGGCCCTGCCACCATGTCCCGCCCCTGGACCGGGCGCGCCCTGCTGAAAAAGGCGAAAAAAGGGGGCGGGGCGGGTAATTTACCCCGGGTGATTCCAGAGTTTGACTCCTTTGTGGCGCCGAGGCGGAAGAGGGGGATGAAGGGCGTGCAGCCCCCAGGGCCGTTTGGGGAGGGGGAGGGGCCGCGGTATGTGCGGACACGAGAGGAGGTGCTGGGGGCGCCGTTGACAAGGGAGGAGGTGGAGGAGATGGTAGCTGATTGCAATAAAGGAAGACGCCAGGTGAACCTAGGTGAGCTTGTGTGTGGTGTGGTGGAGTGCGGTGGGGTGTGGTTGACTAATGGGTGCTAGGAGCCTTGCTGACCAGGCAGGAGGTGGAAGTGATGGTGGCAGCAGACTGCAACAAGGGCAGGCGGGGTGAACCTAGGTCAGCCTGTGGGATGGGGTGGGATTGGGTGGGGTGCGGTGGGGTGTGGTTACGTTGACTCATGGGTGCTTGGGGAGTGCTGCTGGGAAGGGAGGAGGTAGAGGAGATGGATGCAGATTGCAACAAGGGGCGAAGACAGGTGAACCTAGGTGAGCCTGTGCTGTGGTGTGGTGAGGTGTGGTGGAGTGCGGTGGGGTGTGGTGTGGTTGTCTCAAGTATTGGGGGCTCCGCTGACGAGGGAGGAGGTGGAGGAGATGGTGGATGACTGCAACAAGGGCAGACGGCAGGTCAAGTTAGGTGAGCGTGCGGTGTGGTGTGGTGGAGTGTGGTGGGGTGTGGCGGGGTTGCCTCCCGGGTGCTTGGGGAATGCTAATGGGAAGGGAGGAGGTGGGGAAGATGATGGGTGATTGCAACAAAGGAAGGCGGCAGGGGAACCTTGGTGAGTTCCGAGGATTAGGGAAGTTCACTTGCCATCATATCATTACCGCGTCCCTTTTCTCTCGCCCACCCCTGCCCCCTTTCTCCCTCTCCCCATCGCAGGTCGAGACGGCCTAATTCACAACATGCTGGAGCTGATTCACACGCACTGGAAGCGGCGGCGGTGTGTGAAGGTGAAGTGCAAGGGCGTGCCGACCGTTGACATGGACAACGTGTGTCAAGTGGTGGAGGTGCGTTGGGCTTGCACTGAGTACGCACGCACGCAGTCCTTGGGTGTGGAGGGTTGGAATGTGGTTCCTTGGGTGTGTGAAGGTGAAGTGCAAGGGCGTGCCGACCGTTGACATGGACAACGTGTGTCAAGTGGTGGAGGTGCGTTGGGCTTGCACTGAGTACGCACGCACGCAGTCCTTGGGTGTGGAGGGTTGGAATGTGGTTCCTTGGGTGTGTGAAGGTGAAGTGCAAGGGCGTGCCGACCGTTGACATGGACAACGTGTGTCAAGTGGTGGAGGTGCGTTGGGCTTGCACTGAGTACGCACGCACGCAGTCCTTGGGTGTGGAGGGTTGGAATGTGGTTCCTTGGGTGTGTGAAGGTGAAGTGCAAGGGCGTGCCGACCGTTGACATGGACAACGTGTGTCAAGTGGTGGAGGTGCGTTGGGCTTGCACTGAGTACGCACGCACGCAGTCCTTGGGTGTGGAGGGTTGGAATGTGGTTCCTTGGGTGTGTGAAGGTGAAGTGCAAGGGCGTGCCGACCGTTGACATGGACAACGTGTGTCAAGTGGTGGAGGTGCGTTGGGCTTGCACCGAGTACGCACGCACGCAGTCCTTGGGTGTGGAGGGTTGGAATGTGGTTCCTTGGGTGTGTGAAGGTGAAGTGCAAGGGCGTGCCGACCGTTGACATGGACAACGTGTGTCAAGTGGTGGAGGTGCGTTGGGCTTGCACTGAGTACGCACGCACGCAGTCCTTGGGTGTGGAGGGTTGGAATGTGGTTCCTTGGGTGTGTGAAGGTGAAGTGCAAGGGCGTGCCGACCGTTGACATGGACAACGTGTGCCACGTGGTGGAGGTGCGTTGGGTGTGGAGGGATGGAATGCGGTTTCATGGGTGTGTGAAGGTGCATTGGTGCAAGGGCGTGCCGACCGTCGACATCCACACCCCCCATGGACAACGTGTGTTGACGTGGGGCAAGGGCGTGCAAGGGCGTGCAAGGGCGTGCAAGGGCGTGCAAGGGCGTGCAAGGGCGTGCTGACCGTCGTTGAGGTGCGTGGGTTGTGTTGACGCACCGGTGGGATGTGGTAGGCAGGGCGGCACGCTCTATGTGTTCCGCATGCGCAACTACATGCCTGCGCCCGCCTGCGCCCGCGCCTGCCTCTCATGCTCCCGCTCACGGCGACTTGTTCCCACAGCGGCTCCTTCCCTCCCTGCTGTGCTGCTGTTTTTAGGAGAGTCTTACATTTCTGCTATGCTCTTCTGTTGCCATTCCCTGCGACTCCACCAGGACAAGACGGGGGGCAGGATCATCAAATGACAGGGCGGCACCCTCTATGTGTTCCGCGGGCGCAACTACAACTACCTCCTGCGCCCTCCCCTGCTCTCTCTTCTCCCTGTTCTTCCTCACCCAGGCAGGACAAGACGGGAGGCAGGATCATCAAACGACAGGGCGGCACACTCTACGTGTTCCGCGGGCGCAACTACAACTACCGCCTGCGCCTGCGCCCGCGCCTGCTCTGTCCTCTCACTCACTGTTCTGTTTTGTGCCATTTCACGCCCACCAGGACAAGACGGGAGGCAGGATCATCAAAAGACAGGGAGGCACGCTCTATGTGTTCCGCGGGCGCAACTACAACTACCGCTTGCGCCCACGCCTGCCCCTCATGCTGTGGAAGCCCCCTGCGCCCATCTACCCCAAGCTCATCCAAGTCGCCCCTGGGGGGCTGACACTCAGACAAGCGCAGGAGCTGAGGCGTATTGGCAGGAAGATCAAACCGCTCTGCAAACTAGGTGAGTGTGCATGTACAAGCTAGGTACGTGCATGCACACATAGGCACACGTAGGGAGTCTTGCTGTGGAAGCCCCCTGCGCCCATCTGCCCCAAGCTCATCCAAGACTCACCTGGAGGGTTGACGCTGAGGCAAGCACAGGAGCTGAGACGGATCGGCAGGAAGATGAAGCCCCTCTGCAAGCTGGGTACGTGCATGCACACATAGGCACACGTAGGGAGTCATGCTATGGAAGCCCCCTGCGCCCATCTACCCTAAGCTCATCCAAGACGCCACCGGGGGGATTGACGCTTAGACAAGCCCAGGAGCTGAGACGCATTGGCAGGAAGATCAAACCCCTGTGCAAGCTGGGTACGTATGTGCACATGTAGGGAGGGCCATGCTGTGAGAGCTCCCTGCACCCATCTACCCCAAGCCCACTCAAGACGCACCTGACGGATTGACGCTTAGACAAGCCCAGGAGCTGAGACGCATTGGCAGGAAGATAAAACCCCTGTGCAAGCTGGGTGAGTGTGTATCCAAAAGCTTCCTCCCTGAAGCTTCCTCTCGTCTCACACTCGTCTTGCAACTCTAACTCAACTCTTGTCTCTCTTTCCCCTTTTCTCCCCTCACAGGCAAGAACGGCGTGTACCACCGGCTGGTGGGCGTGGTGCGGGCGGGGTTTGAGGAGGCGGATCTGGTGCGGGTGGACTGCAAGGGCATGAACAAGAGCGACTACAAGAAGATTGGCGCCAAGCTCAGGGTGAGTGGGTGTATCGGCGGTGATGTGATGCAGTAACGGTTTGAGGCGGTGCACCTGGTGCGAGTGGACTGCGCGGGGATGAACAGAAGCGACCGACAAGAAGATCGGCGCAAAACGAAGGGTGAGTGGCTGGGTTGGGGAGCTTTGCTTGACACGGTGCTTCAATCACACCTTGTAACATTTCTATGTCTGAAAAATCAGGCCCTCTCATTGGCTGTCTCACCCACTTGCCTCCTCTCACCCTCTTGCGTCCTCTCACCCCTTGCTTCCTCCCCACCTCCTTGCCTCCTCTCACCCCTTTGCCTCTTCTCATCCCCTTCGCTGTGATTGGACCCCACCAGGACCTGGTGCCATGTGTCCTGCTCTCATTCGACAAGGAGCAGATCCTCATGTGGCGCGGGCTGGACTCGCAGGAACCTTCTTCCGAGCCTTCCCCTGAAGGTTCGTCTGAAAATTCCAGTGGCAGAAGCAGCCATTGCAGGTTCAGTGGCAGACGGGGGAGGGAACAATCCGGCAGGAGAGATTTCAAGGGGGTTGGTGGAAGGTGGGAATGTGGGAATGGGGGCTGGGATGGAAGGAGGGGAGGTGGGAGAGAGGCAGGGAGTGTGGAGATTTGATGTGGAGGATGAGGGGGAGGTGGAGGTGAGTGTGAGTGTGGATGCGGATGGCGTGATGGTGGTGGGTGGAGAGGAGGGGGAGGAGGAAGAAGGGGAGGGGGATTGGGAGGAGGAAGTGGGTGGTCTGGATGGAGATGATTGGAATGACAAGGAAAGGCGGGGTGTGGAGGGAGGGAGCAGGGATGGAAGCAACAGTGGTGGCGAGAGTGGGAGAGAGGGAGACTGGCACCAAAGAAGCCATAATCAAGAAATTTCCCAACGATTTTCTCCAGGCCCCCCTCAAGAATCATCCAAGGGATCATCTCAAAGTGGCTCTCAAGGAGAAGGATCTTCAAGCCATGTGAAGGTCGCAGGTATTGGAAATGGGCAAGCGGGTCCGGATTCTGCGGTGTCATCTTCCTCTGAGATAGGAGGTGAAGCGGTCTTTGATGAGTTTGAGGAGCTTTGGGAGAAGGCGACAAAAACCGGGGAGATAACGCCGCTAGATGGCTCAAAGTAGTGACGCAAATCAACAAGTTATCATACTCATGTATTGCAATGTGTGCCATGGCACAAAATGGTGATGGGCAGCTGGTTATCACGGTTAGGTAATAAAGAGAAACGATTGTGCTGGCATGTTGCAATATATTGCGTCATATGTCCTAGAGCAGAGTATAATTGGACTTTCCTAGAACCATGGAAGAGGTAAGCGAGTAATATAATACATTTTTTCGAGCTGCTTGTAGGTGTGTAATATTGTATGTGCCGCAGCTGTTCTTATAAAGAACACGCTCGACTGCTCCAGCCCCGCTGTGATTGGCCAGCAATGCTGGCTCGTGGCTGGTGTTGGAATTGGAGTTCTCGAAGGAAGTCTTCCCTGACGCGCCCACCACAACCACAACCAACCATCATCGCCGGCACCACCACCCCACCTTGGGTTTGGGAACTCATCGCTGCGCGACATACCAGACCCTTCGCGAACAGCTCGTCCTGTCGCAGAACGGAGGTTGTTGGCCAGAATCAGCGGCGATACTGGTCAGCTGTTTTGCACGACTCTTCAAAGCGTCGCACTGGCTCCCGTTACGAAATATTTTTCCACTCGCGCGGTCGCAGGGTCTCCACCAGTCGTACAGTTTACTCCAATGTTCAACAGTTCTTCTTCCAGATCTTCCATTCTAAGCCCACCTCATAGTCTGCAATCTGTTGGCCGTGAATCCAAGAGTCAAATTAGTTCCTTGGGAATTGACTCAGCTTTCTCCTACCATTCTTCCTGATCCAGCCAACCCAGAGTTACTGATAGGCGATCGGCGACAATGGTGCGTCATTTACTTCATGCTGCCACTCCGAGTCGGTGAAATCGCCTTTTGTTGATAGGTTAACTTGGTTGTTGCTAACACATTGCGTGTTCTGCGGTTCCTTTTCTTCCGTTCTTCTCTGCAGGGTAGGAAGTTGTGGTGCCTTTTCGTGATCGCTCTGCTATTATGTGCGTCCATTCACTCCGCCGACGCGAAGAAAAAGAAAAAGGTAGTAGTGGAGGAAGAGGAGGCAGCAGACGAGGGAAGCGCCGCGGCTGAGCAGAGCGACGAGGGTGACGCAGATGAGAAAACAACCACCAAAACTTCCAAAGCAGACGCTGAAGCGTCAGAGGATGAAGACGCAGAGCCGCCTGCGAAACCCTTAAAGTCGTCGAAAAAAGCCAGCAAGCTCAAGAAGGCAGCGGAGGAGGACGAGGGGGAAGAGAAGGAGGAAGCAGCAGCAGACGCTGACGAGGCCGATGCCCCTGCTCCGAAAAAGGTAAAGTCCGCGAAGAAAGCGAGCGACGACGAAGAGGAGGACGCAGACGCTGCACCTGTCGCTAAGAAAAAGGCTGCAGCGGACGACGAGGAAGCTTCCGCGGAAACGGAAGACGAAGAGGAAGCTCCTGCGGCGAAAAAGAAGCCTGCAGCAAAAAAGAAGGCTGCCGCCGCGGAGGAGGAAGCAGGTGAAGATGAAGCAGCCGAGGAGGAGGATAAGCCGAGCAAGGCCGCTGTAGCTAAGGCCGCTAGCGCTAAAGAAACGGATTCCGGGGAGGACGAGGAAGCAGAAAGCGAGAAGGTTACGGCGACTACAGCCGATGAGGACAAACCGAAAGCTGCGAAGGGCGGCGTCACGGCTGTTTCTAAGGATCCTCCTATGGAGTCGCCGAAAGTCCCAGCCACGGCGTGGAAGTCGAAAAACCAGACGCGCGACGACATTGATCCGCAAGGTTCGCGCTCGAGATTGCCTTGACGCGACCGCATTGATGCTCAACTCGTCCGTTAGATCCTTTGTAGCAAGATCGTACGGCCGACGCGGTAGGATTCTAACTAAAACGATTTTCGTTTTTTCGCAATTCAGGTGCTTGCAAGCGGGACATCACGCTTCACTGCCAGGGGATTACGCCCGGCGAGGCTCAGCTGTCGCTGTGCCTCGTCTTCCACATCAAGAACGAGAAGGCCGGCAACGAAGTCGCCAGTAAGCTCCGCGCGAGAATCAATCTCCGTTGTTGCAAAATTTTTCCAGCCGTCGTTTCAAAACACCAGCCCTTTCGCGATTCGGAGCGTAGGATCCCGAGAACGGTTTTCCGCCGTGTTGTCTATTGTAAACCGTTCATTTGCCTGACTCGCCCTCCCTCCACCTCTCGATCATGTTGTGCGGTTGGCAGCGATCATGGTGTCCAAAAAGTGCCGAGCGGAGATCCGGCAGTTCCGATCCGACATGTACAGGGACCTCTCCATGGACAAGGCCATGTGTGCGTACTCTCCATTTAAACCACTTTCGTAACTCTGACAGATCAAGATTGAAGAACCGCTGCGTCCCTTTCTAAGATTCACGTATCTCCTTTGTTCCGCACCGATTGATTTTGTTTGCTTTTCTTTAAGCCTCCCTCGTGTCCTGACGCCTGTTCTTGGGGATCTATGGGGCCCTGGTCGTTGCGTGGATGGCTAGCAGCGACGGCGTGCAAGGCGGACATCACCAAGTTCTGCGACGACGACTTCCTCTATCCCGAACCCGGCAACATCATTGCCTGCCTCAGGTATGCGAATGCGAATGCGAATGCGAAGTCAGGCAAATACCCAACCGTTTCTTGTTTCCAGGCGTACCCACAGTCGAGTATGCTGACGTGAGCACGGAAACGAAGGGTATGCACATTTTTCTTATTTTTTTTGTAATACCACCAAACCAGTTCGATGCGGTTGTTGGAAAATGACTAATTTAACAATAACACAATGTGCTGAAATACTGTTCAGGGAGGTGAAGCAGGTGGAGAAGCTGCAGGACGCGTGTCTGGCGGAGGTGCTGCGGCACCAGATGGAGGCGGCGGACGACTTCGTGATGGACCCGCAGCTGCGCGAGCTCTGCAGCGGCGAGGCCGACCGCCTCTGCAAGGGCGTCGAGCCCGGGGAAGGCCGCGTGCAGAACTGCCTGGTTAGTGTGGCACATTGGGAGGTGGCACATTGGGAGGGAGTCTATTTTCTAGGCGCCTCAGAAATAGCAAGGGCGTCGAGCCCGGGGAAGGCGGCATTTAGATCTGGCTGGTCGGTGAGGCTCACAGGGAGACTAGTTTTTAGGTGCCTCAGAAATAGCTCGGGCGCGGAAGTCGGGGAAGGCCGCAGTCAGAACTTCCTGGTCAGTGTGGCACACAGACACAGGGAGACTAGTTTATAAGGCGCCTTAGAAATAGCGAGGGCGCGAACTTGGGGAAGGCCGCAGTCAGAACTTCCTGGTCAGTGTGGCACACAGACACAGGGAGACTAGTTTATAAGGCGCCTTAGAAATAGCGAGGGCGCGAACTTGGGGAAGGCCGCAGTCAGAACTTCCTGGTCAGTGTGGCACACAGACACAGGGAGACTAGTTTATAAGGCGCCTTAGAAATAGCGAGGGCGCGAACTTGGGGAAGGCCGCATTCAGAACTTCCTGGTCAGTGTGGCTCACAGGGAGACGGACGGACAGTCAGACTGGGAGACGGAGGTTTAGGCGAATAGCCAGAAGGACAGGTAGATGGACAGGCAGACGTTTGAGACTTACGTTTAGACGGATAGGCAGGACAGGTAGATGGACAGGCAGACGGATAGAGACGACCAGGCAGACGGACAGGCACGGACAGGCAAACGTACAGGCCGACGGACAGACAGACGGACAGTCAGACGGACAGGTAGACGGACAGGTTGACGGACAGGCAGGCTGGCAGACGGAAAGACGGACGGACAGACTGTCACAAGTCCCCAGACGGGCAGAAAGATAGTTGTTGGTCAGTTAGTGGTGATTGCTTCTTTCTTGGAGCATGCTGATTGTGGGGTTGTGGTGTGGTGTGGTTGCGGTGTGGCGCAGAGGGAGCACCGCACGAAGCTGGCGTGGGATTGCCAGGCGGAGCTGTTCCGCCAGGAGGTGGAGAACGCCGACGACATCCGCCTCAACGTTCGCCTCTTCCAAGGTAAGCCTTCCCGCACGCCAGGTGCGCCTTCCCGCATGCTAGGTACGCCTTCCCACCCGTCAGGTACGCCTTCCCACCCGCCAGATACGCCTTGTCGACCACAGGTATGGTTTCCCAACCAGCAGGTACGGCTTCCCAGCCAGCAGGTACGGATTCCCAGCCACCAGGTACGGATTCCCAGCCACCAGGTACGGATTCCCAGCCACCAGGTACGGCTTCCCAGCCATCAGGTACGGATTCCCAGCCATCAGGTACGGATTCCCAGCCATCAGGTACGGATTCCTTCCCAGCCATCAGGTACGGATTCCCAGCCATCAGTCCCAGCCACCAGGTACAGCTTCCCAGCCATACGGCTTCCCAGGCTCAACCTGTCCCTTTTCCCTCCCTATGAGTGTTTTTCAAACTCGTTTCCTGTGTTCGGCCTCCTGTTGCCTTTTGCCACTTTGTTTTCACCCTTCCCCCTTCCCTATCCCCTCCCAACCTCCCAAACCCTCCCCCGTCCACCCCGCCGCCACCCTCCCCTTCTCTGCGTCGTTTCTGCGTTCACAGCGTGCCTGAACGACCAGCGCAAGTTCTGTGCGGATGTGAAGTATGGAGATGCGCGCGTGAAGGACTGCTGGTTGAGGCGCCACAAAGTTATTCAACCTCCTCGGTCACCCCACCCCTCCCCCACGCCTTCCTCCCCGCTAATCCCCTGCGTGTGCAGCGTGCCTGAACGACCAGCGCAAGTTCTGTGCGGATGTGAAGTATGGGGATGCGCGTGTGAAGGACTGCCTGGAGGACCACCGCCTCGACGACGAGTTCTCCCCTGGCTGGTACGCTTCTCGTCCTGCTTTTCATGAACGCTTCTGTTCGTTTAGTTCCATGTCAGATCTCTTGCTTTGTTCCCCCTGCCTCATCTCACCCCCTCTCTCCTTTTATCCCCGTTTCCCCTTCTCCGCGTTCCCCTCCTCTCCCCCTCTCCCGCCCTAACTTTCTCCCCTGGCAGCAAGACGGAGTTTGAGAAGATGATGGCGTGCGCGGAGGGTGCGGACTTCTGAATAGGCCCTAAAGCCACCTTACCTTTTCCTCCTTCCCCCCTTCCCCCCTCCTTCCCACCTCCCCTCCCCCCCTGGCAGCAAGACGGAGTTTGAGAAGATGATGGCGCGGAGGGCCACGGATTTCAGGCTGGACTCGCGCCTGCGCAAGTACTGCAAGGGCGACATTGCCGAGGTGCGTGCGTGGGGGCCATGGCAGAGCAGAGGTGCTTGAGTTTGGGAGTAGGGGGAAACAGTGTAGAGCAGAGGTCAAAGGTGCTTACAAGGAGGGCCACGGACTTCAGGCTGGACTCGCGCCTGCGCAAGTACTGCAAGGGCGACATTGCCGAAGTGCGTGGGTTAGGAAGGGGCCAGTGAAGAGCAGAGCGTGAGGACGGGAGGGATAGGACAGTTTGTAGAAGGGATTCGTGGGACGGGGTGGGGAGGGGGGCAGTGTAGTGTAGAGCAGGGGTGCGCACAAGGCGGAGGGCCACGGACTTCAGGCTAGATTCGCGCCTGCGCAAGTACTGCAAGGGCGACATTGCAGAGGTGCGTGGGTTGGGAAGGGGCATGACAGAGGCGCACGCCGAGTGGGATTTGCAGAGGCGCGGGGGAACAGTGCAGTGCAAAGGTGCATGCAAGGGTAGGGCAGTGCAAAGTTTCGCGTTAGGAAGAGGGAGAGTGTAGAGGTGCGCGCAAGAGGAGCATTGCATAGGAGCGTGGGTGGGGGGGCATGGCAGAGAGGTGCCCAGGGGGGGGGGTGACATTTTGGACGTGGCAAACTGTGACCCGGGGTGCGCAGGCAGGACTACCGAGAGGAGCTCAAGAGTCCCTCCTCCTTCCCTCTTCCTCCCTTCCACACACCCCTCCCAGATCTGCTATCCGGACGCGGAGGACATATCAGACGTGGCAAACTACGACGCCAAGGTGATCCAGTGTCTGCAGGACTACCGCGACGAGCTCAAGGACCCCAAGTGCAAGGCGCAGGTGCACAAGCTGACGGAGAGGGAGATTGATATTCGCTTTAACAAGCCCCTTGCTGACGCCTGCCAAGGTGAGTGTCGCGCCTGCCTAGGCGAGTCCGTGGGTCGGTGGTTCGTTCCTGCCAAGGTGGGCCTATGAAGCATAAGAAGCAGCGCAGGTGCACAAGCTCACGGAGAGGGAGATCGACATCCGCTTCAACAAGCCCCTTGCTGACGCCTGCCAATGTGGGCGTGTGCTTCGCGCCTGCCAAGGTGTGTCTGTGAGGTGACTTGAGAATTAGTGCGCAAGCTGACTCTTGAGGCGCCTAAATTATCACCTCATTATTAGTGCGCAAGCTGACAGGGAGGGCGATTGGCACCTGGTGTTACAGACCTCTCTGTGACGCCTGTCAATGACTGCGGTGGCTGTGCTACTTCATCTCCACTCTCTCCTTTGTCTGCCTGGCTCTCGCTGCTGCATTACCGCTCTTCCTTTTTCCTGATTCCCATGAAGTTGCGTACGTGGGACTAAATACACGTCTTTAACTGACGACCTCGTGCGTGGGACTGACTAAATACGGTCCTCAACCTCGTCTTTCCACACGCCCATGCCCCCATCCTGGCACGTGCAGCTGATCGCACCACGGTGTGCGAGTGCGCACTGGATGGACAGGCGTCCGTGTTCATGTCGTTTTCCGAATGTACTTCTGAGCACGTGTTTCAAGCAACCTCTCTCCTTCTCATCCCCATACCCACATCCCGCCACGTGCAGCTGATCGCACCACGGTGTGCAAGGACGCACCGGACGGGCAGGCGTCGGTCTTCATGTGCCTGTGCAAATGTGCCAGGTGCTCATTTGTTTTTCTTTGCAAACCCATACCCCCATCTTGCCTCACACAGCTGATCGCACGACGGTGTGCAAGGATGCACCAGACGGGCAGGCGTCGGTGTTCATGTGCCTGCAGGACCACATGCCGCAGCTCAAGGAGGCGTGCCGCAACTCTGTCTTTGAACAGGTGAGTATTGTGCCACATGCACGGTGCCGCAACTCTACTAGGAATGAGCAGAGCAGCAGGACCACATGCCCCCTCAGCTCAAGGAGGCGAACCGCAATTCTGTCTTTGAGCAGGTAAGGTCCTTTTCTCGTGCACCTACTCTTTCTCATGCCCCTTTTTACCACATGAGGTGATTTTGAGCCAATTTACCTGCTGCTCACCTGTTGACACTCCACTCCACGCTCGCTCCCCTCTACTCCGTCAGCTCGTGCGCATGGCAGAGGTCATTGGCTTCAATCACCTGTCGTTCACCCCTTTGCAACCCTCTCCACCGCGCCCAACCCCCCCAGCTGGTGCGCATGGCGGAGGACATAGACTTCAAGTTCCCCATGAAGAAGGCGTGTCATTCGGAGCTTGACAAGTTCTGCAAGGACGTGCCGCACGGTGAGCCCTTTTCAGACCCACCATTCCTTGATGTGGGTTGTGCCGAGTCGCTTTCATGTAGATGATACTTGGGGAATTAATGTTTAGAGTGTTACAAAGTGGTTGCGCATCATCTGCCCGCAAGTCTTCCTTCACTCTCTTCTCATCTCCCTCGGTTTAAAATTCACCATCTTCCTCTGCTCTCCCACCATCCTTTCTCCCATCCTGTCGCCTCAAGTGTCTTCCTGCAGGACCACATTTCTTCCGTCATTCTTCTCGTTACACCCGTCTCACCTTCACTCACTCCCCCTCCTGTTCCCCGTGCGCCCATCACCCGTCCTCAGGCCACGCCTCCCGCATCAAGTGTCTGCAGGACCACATTGACGATGCCGACTTCGGGGAGGCGTGCCGCAAGGAGGTGCAATCCGACCTCGTGCGATCGGCACAAGGTAAGCTCCGACTGCAATACTGTGCACATACATACACAGTGCAAGCGGTGCTGACGTGGACAGCGCACGCACAGTCAGGTTCACAGAGCGACTTTGGGGAGGTGTGCCGCAAGGAGGTGCAATCTGACCTCGTGCGATCGGCACAAGGTGAGCTCCGAGTGGGAGTGTGCAAGCGGTGCTGCCAGGAGGAGCAGTGCACGCACCCAGTCAGGTTCATGCGCTGGTTCACTTTGGGAAGGCGTGCCGCAAGGAGGTGCAATCCGACCTCGTGCACTCGGCGCAAGGTGAGGGCTGGAACAGAAGCAGTGCATGCGCACAGTTGCAAATGGTGCTGGCAGGAACAGTGCACGCACATAGTCAGGTTCACGACGCAGGTTCACCTTGGGGAGGCATGCCTTGGAGGTGCAATTTGACTTCATTCTCGTGTCACCTTCCCCCCCGCTTTCCTCTCCCGCTCCTCCCATCCCCTCTTTCCTCGCTCCTCGTAACACACACCTCTTTGACCTGTAGAAGCAATTCACGCGCCTCGCAAGGCTCGCCTGTCCTCGTCTATTTCCCTCGAACCTCCCCTTACCAACCAACCTGACAACACCCCTTCCCATTCTTCTCGCTCCCTCAGTCAGACTACCGGCTGAACTACTGCCTGCACAAGACGTGTGCACTTCAACTGCCCGTCACCCTACCTTTGATCCACACCTCACCACTATTAACCCCGCCCCTCCCCTCCACACCCCCTCCCCCCCCACTCCCCCCCCCTTCCCCAGACTACCGGCTGAACTACCGCCTGCACAAGGCGTGCCTGCCAGACATCCAGCAGCAGTGCCTGCAGAATCACATCATACCCATCTCCCCGCCCCGTCCACATCCCCCTCCCTCTCCAGACTACCTGCTGAACTGGCTGCACAAGGCGTGCCTACTGGACATCCAGCAGCAGTGCCTGCACGCGTGCACTGCAGTCGCCCTCACCTCTATTCCACCCTCCCAAACCCCCTCTCCCAGACTACCGGCTGAACTACCGGTTGCACAAGGCGTGCCTGCCGGACATCCAGCAGCAGTGCCTGCACGCGTGTGACGCGGCCTCAGCCAACGGCACCGCCACATGCGGCGGCATGGTGCTGCGCTGCCTGCAGGACAACAAGGCCAAGCTGCAGTCCCCCTCCTGCACCCAGGAGGTCGACTCCTTCAGCGTGATAGAGTCCAAGGACCCGCTGTCCTTAGATGTGCCGCTGCAGAAGGCGTGTCAGGGGGATCTGGTCAAGCTGTGCCCGGATGTGAGCCGGGACCACGCTCGCACGCTGTCGTGCCTGCGGACCAAGAGGGAGAAGCTGTCGACGCCGTGCCGGGAGGAGGAGATGCGCTTCAGCATCATGGAGGTGGGTCCTGAGTGGTGGGTTGGGTGGTGGGTGGTGGGTGGTGGGTTGGGTGGTGGCTGGGTGTGAGTGTCGTACTGCCTCTCTCATCGAGGGAGAAGCTGTCGATGCCTTGCCGGGAGGAGGAGATGTGCGTTAGCATCATGGAAGTGGGTGTGGATGATGGTGGCAGGTTTTCTCTGTTTGTTCTAGTGGACTGATCTAGTCGACTCAAAAGTCACCTCGTTTTGAGTCGACTCAAAACTCGGTCTCTGTCTGTTAAGGCGTTTGCTCTAGTGGACTGACGCCTCTCTGTTTTCCCCCTCTTTCTTCCCGTCCCCTTCTCTTTTTCGATGCGCATCTCATTCCTCGACCCTTTTGTTGCTCCCTTTGCCAGGCATCGGACATTCGCCTCACACCGTCCCTCATGAATGCATGCGGCCAAGGTGAGCCATTGGCACAAGCCGCCCTGCATGTGGCAAAGCTGTCTCCGCCTGCTTTATTTTTTCTCATTAAACCCATTTTCACTCTCTACCTCCTCGTTCACCCAAATCGATCTGACGCTTGGGGTCCTCGCTCTTTATTTCCCACACACACACCCTCACAATCGCCCTTCCCCCACACACAATCCTTGTCATCCCGCATGCAGAGCTGCAGAGCCTGTGCCGCGATGCGCCCCCCACGGAGGGGCAGGCGTTCAAGTGGCTGCAGGAGCCCCCCTCCCCATCCCTTCTCACACCCCTTCCCTTCCCCGTTCCCGTCCGTTTCTGCCCTGATTCTTGTTCTTGTCCCCCTCTCCACCCGCAGAGCTGCAGAGTCTGTGCCGCGACGCGCCCCCCACGGAGGGGCAGGCGTTCAAGTGTCTGCAGGAGCGGCTGCAGGACGTGGGCATGGGCGCGGCGTGCAAGGGCGAGGTCAACCTGCAGGAGGCGAGGCACGCCTCCAACTACCGCCTGGACGTGCGCGTGCGCAAGGAGTGCGAGGACGATGTTACCAAGTTCTGTAACGGTGTAGATGCGGGGCAGGAGGGGCATGCGCTAGTGCTCAAGTGCATGGTGGGGAGCTTCAAGAGCCTCTCTGCCTCCTGCCAGTCAGAGGTGCGTTTCACTCTTCATTCATGTGTGTTGAGGGGGTGGGGGAGAGAAAAGGGGGGGTGAAAGGAAAGGGAAGGCGAAGTTGTGTTTCCGTTGGATTCACGCACGGGATGCGCATGACCCTCTGTCTCCTCCTCCTCCTCCTCCTCCTCCTCCTCCTCCTCCTCCTCCTCCTCCTCCTCCTCCTCCTCCTCCTCCTCCTCCTCCTCCTCCTCCTCCTCCTCCTCCTCCTCCCCCCCCCTTTCCTCTTCCTCCTCCACCCCCCGTTCCCAGGGTCCGGTGTGGTGTGCTTGGCCCTCTCTCGCTCTTCCAGTACCACAAGACGGATCATAGTGATGAGGGTTGAGGGTGCATCGCCACTTCGCTCTCTCCATCCCTCCATCGTTCCCATCCCCCCTCCCTCCTTCCCCAGGTGTCCAATGCGGTGCGCACGGCGCTCTTCCAGTACCACAAGGCGGGTGATAGTGATGCTGGTTGAGTGCTTGAGATCACATATCTCCTGTGCCCCGCCCTTCTCCCCCTCTCCGCCCCCACCCCACAACGGCCTCGGTCCCCAGGTGTCCTATGCGGTGCGCATGGCACTGTTCCAGTACCACAAGGGGGCAGCCCTCACCCAACCCTGCGACACAGCCGTAGAAGAGCTCTGCAACACCGGCAGCGCTGCCGCTGCCACCACTCCAGTCAAGGAGATCAACGGAGCAGTGATCGGCGTGTACGGGCAGTGCCTGGTGTCGCAGAAGCGGCAGCGCCTGCCGGAGGAGTGTCGCACGCTGGTGAAGCTGGTGGCCAAGGAGGGCGCGTATGTGGGTGGCACCGTGGACCAGAACAAGCTTGAGGAGACCCTCATGAAGCTCAAGGCGGTGAGGCTGCTGGCTGGGATGGGTTCCTGCTCGGTGGGGTGCGGTGCAGTGCGGTGAAATGGGGTGGAATGTGGTGGGATGGGCGTGTGTGTATGGGCAGTGCCTGCTAGAGGAGTGCCGCACGCTGGTGAAGCTGGTGGCCAAGGAGGGCGCGTATGTGGGCGGGAACGTGGACCAGACCAAGCTGGAAGAGACCCTCATGAAGCTCAAGGCGGTGAGGCTGCTGGGTGGGATGGGGTCCTGCTCGGTGGGTTTACGGTTTAGGGTTAGGAGAGACTCTGATGAAGCTCAAGGCGGTGAGGCTGAGCCGCCCGGGTGCGTGGGGTGGGATGTAGTGCGGTGTGGTGCAGTGTGGTAAATGGGGAGAAAATTGGTGTGTGATGGGCGTGTACGGGCAGTGCCTGGTGTCGCAGAACCGCTTTCAACCGCAGGTCCTTGAGCCCCACTGTTCCAAGCACTAAACATTTAGTTTGAGGTTGATTTTGAGAATTCTCAAAATCAACCTCAAACAAAGTGCTGTCAACCACAGGTCCTTGAGCGCCACTGTTCCAAGCACTAAACATTTACACCACCCACCCATCCCCCACTCTTACCCACCCCCCTTCCCTCTCCAAGCAGCTACAGGAGGCGGCAACAGCGGCAACAACAGCAGACGGCGGGAGGAGTGTTGCTCACGACACGGGGCTCGTCATTTCCGGGTGGCTGGCTGCTGCTGCTCTCGCAGCGGTGGTCATTGTCGCCATTGCCATCGGCTGTGCTGTATATTACAGGTTCTTCAGCCCCACTCGCAACTACACTCTGGTCGTCAAGTCTGCTCCAGGCGCTGTTGGGGTGTAGCTTTGGGTAGGTTTGAGCTGACTCTGTAGCATCGGCTGTGCTGTATACTACAGGTTCTTCAGCCACACTCGCAACTACACTCTGGTCGTCAAGTCTGCTCCAGGTGCTGTTGGAGTGTAGAGTTGAGCTGGTTTAGTAGCATCAGCTGTGCCATCGCCAACCACCACAGGTTCTTGAGCGCTCCAGTTGCAACTACACCCTGGTTCGCAAGTCCGCTCGGGGTGCTGCTGGGGGGTAGAGAGTTGAGCTGAGCCAATACCACTGCGCTTTGCGGGTTTGCTGTTAGGTTTGAACCGAGCTGATGTCACGGGCTGTGCGGTTTTGCCAGCAGAAGGACCAGGAGTTTCAGTTGCATACTCACTACTGCCACACGCTAGTTGATGCTTGGGCTGGAGTAAGTTTGGTATGGTTGCATTAGAAGCGATTTACGGTACAGTAGGTGCTAGAGAAGAGACGTGTATTAGTATGTGGAATGCATGGCAGTGAACCAACACTGTGAAGGGACTGAATTGTGCTGCCTCACGCCATGTCATTCATCCAACATCTGCACTAAAACTGGTTTGTAGTAAGATCTGTACAGGGATAAGTACAGGGCGAATCACGTACAGAAACAAGCAGGCCTATTCTAGGAATTGTACGTTCGATTTCGGCTCTGCACTCTACAGCCGGTAATAAAACAAGCACTAGCCCTAGAAACACAGGAGGGAGGGTGGGTGGAGGCAATGCACTCAGGAGGGTGGGGGAGCAAGGCACCTTGCATGGCATGAGATACGCCATCATCCAGATGCGCCATCATCCAGATACGCCATCATCCAGATACGCCATCATCCAGATACGCCATCTATTCTCACGCATCCTCATCCTTCCAGTGATTCAAATAATCCATCCAGTCACACGAAATCTGCCCCGGCATGCACGCATCCCTCCTCGGATCCTTCACCTCGAAATCCCAAAACGCCGCAGGCGAATTCTGGCTCTTCAACTTCCTCATGCGGAACTCAATCTCCGCCTTGTGAATATTTCTCAGCCAGCAGTGCTCCTGCAGGCCCACAGCCATCTCGTCATGCATCTTCCACCACCTCTGATGCGCCGCCTCGTTGGCGTATGCGTGGTCATATGGGTACAGCCACGTGCAGTCAAAGTCGCGGTAGCACTGCCAGGGCTTGCGGCCGAGGTAGTGGATGGTGTGGATTTCAGCTGGCTCCTCTGAGAACCACCGATTCTTTGTGGCGAGCTCGTTGGTTCGGCGGGGTTCTTCGGTTGCCCACACGTGCTTCAGGATGTTGACGGAGTCTGGCAGGCGGTGCCACCACGTGAAGTAGTTGTTCAGGTAGCCCTGAGGGGTTGAGAGGGGTGAGGATGGGTAAATGAGAGGGCAAGAACGTGGGCAACAAACCATCCCTAAGCATCTACCCGCATCCACCCCCTAATCCAGACCATCCCCAACCATGACCCACATTCCCAACCATTTCAACCCATCCCCGAGCATGAGTACATGCAAAAGTGTTCCCACCTGGTCACCCCCGTTGGGCGAGCGGATGGTGTGCACGGTGGCGAGGAGCTCGCGGAAGGTGCAGAGGGAGGGGCATTAAGAAACCCGTCCCCAACCATCCCCAACCGCCCCCAACCGCCCCCAACCCACTCAGCCGTCCACAATCCTTCCCAAGCGCCCATCATCGCACCTGGTCACCCCCGTTGGGCGAGCGGATGGTGTGCACGTTGGTGAGCAGCTCGCGGAAGGTGCAAGCGGAGGGGCGCAGCAGCATGAGGCCCGAGTTGAAGTCCGTCTTATCGTTGCCTCGCGCCGCCACGTCGGGGAAGGCGAAGAGATGATCGAGATTGCGCAGCACCAGCAGATCCGCGTCCACGAATATGACTGAGGAGTACTCTGTCAGCTGCCACAGCCGCAGCTTGCTGGTGGGGGGGTTGGGGGAGGAAAGGGAGTGAGAGGCGTCGGTGCTCCGTCAGTTGCCACAACCTGTAGTTGCACTCGTTATACGTGCATGCTCTTCCACTTCCACTCGTTATACATGCATGCTCTTCCACTCGTTATACGTGCATGCTCTTCCACTCGTTATACATGCATGCTCTTCCACTCGTTATACATGCATGCTCTTCCACTCGTTATACGTGCATGCTCTTCCACTCGTTATACGTGCATGCTCTTCCACTCGTTATACGTGCATGCTCTTCCACTCGTTATACGTGCATGCTCTTCCACTCGTTATACGTGCATGCTCTTCCACTCGTTATACGTGCATGCTCTTCCACTCGTTATACGTGCATGCTCTTCCACTCGTTATACGTGCATGCTCTTCCACTCGTTATACGTGCATGCTCTTCCACTCGTTATACGTGCATGCTCTTCCACTCGTTATACGTGCATGCTCTTCCACTCGTTATACGTGCATGCTCTTCCACTCGTTATACGTGCATGCTCTTCCACTCGTTATACGTGCATGCTCTTCCACTCGTTATACGTGCATGCTCTTCCACTCGTTATACGTGCATGCTCTTCCACTCGTTATACGTGCATGCTCTTCCACTCGTTATACGTGCATGCTCTTCCACTCGTTATACGTGCATGCTCTTCCACTCGTTATACGTGCATGCTCTTCCACTCGTTATACGTGCATGCTCTTCCACTCGTTATACGTGCATGCTCTTCCACTCGTTATACGTGCATGCTCTTCCACTCGTTATACGTGCATGCTCTTCCACTCGTTATACGTGCATGCTCTTCCACTCGTTATACGTGCATGCTCTTCCACTCGTTATACGTGCATGCTCTTCCACTCGTTATACGTGCATGCTCTTCCACTCGTTATACGTGCATGCTCTTCCACTCGTTATACGTGCATGCTCTTCCACTCGTTATACGTGCATGCTCTTCCACTCGTTATACGTGCATGCTCTTCCACTCGTTATACGTGCATGCTCTTCCACTCGTTATACGTGCATGCTCTTCCACTCGTTATACGTGCATGCTCTTCCACTCGTTATACGTGCATGCTCTTCCACTCGTTATACGTGCATGCTCTTCCACTCGTTATACGTGCATGCTCTTCCACTCGTTATACGTGCATGCTCTTCCACTCGTTATACGTGCATGCTCTTCCACTCGTTATACGTGCATGCTCTTCCACTCGTTATACGTGCATGCTCTTCCACTCGTTATACGTGCATGCTCTCTACGTGCATAGCTCTTCACTCGTTATACAGTGCATGCTCTTCCACTCGTTATACATGCATGCTCTTCCACTCGTTATACATGCATGCTCTTCCACTCGTTATACATGCATGCTCTTCCACTCGTTATACATGCATGCTCTTCCACTCGTTATACATGCATGCTCTTCCACTCGTTATACATGCATGCTCTTCCACTCGTTATACATGCATGCTCTTCCACTCGTTATACATGCATGCTCTTCCACTCGTTATACATGCATGCTCTTCCACTCGTTATACATGCATGCTCTTCCACTCGTTATACATGCATGCTCTTCCACTCGTTATACATGCATGCTCTTCCACTCGTTATACATGCATGCTCTTCCACTCGTTATACATGCATGCTCTTCCACTCGTTATACATGCATGCTCTTCCACTCGTTATACATGCATGCTCTTCCACTCGTTATACATGCATGCTCTTCCACTCGTTATACATGCATGCTCTTCCACTCGTTATACATGCATGCTCTTCCACTCGTTATACATGCATGCTCTTCCACTCGTTATACATGCATGCTCTTCCACTCGTTATACATGCATGCTCTTCCACTCGTTATACATGCATGCTCTTCCACTCGTTATACATGCATGCTCTTCCACTCGTTATACATGCATGCTCTTCCACTCGTTATACATGCATGCTCTTCCACTCGTTATACATGCATGCTCTTCCACTCGTTATACATGCATGCTCTTCCACTCGTTATACATGCATGCTCTTCCACTCGTTATACATGCATGCTCTTCCACTCGTTATACATGCATGCTCTTCCACTCGTTATACATGCATGCTCTTCCACTCGTTATACATGCATGCTCTTCCACTCGTTATACATGCATGCTCTTCCACTCGTTATACATGCATGCTCTTCCACTCGTTATACATGCATGCTCTTCCACTCGTTATACATGCATGCTCTTCCACTCGTTATACATGCATGCTCTTCCACTCGTTATACATGCATGCTCTTCCACTCGTTATACATGCATGCTCTTCACTCGTTATACATGCATGCTCTTCCACTCGTTATACATGCATGCTCTTCCACTCGTTATACATGCATGCTCTTCCACTCGTTATACATGCATGCTCTTCCACTCGTTATACATGCATGCTCTTCCACTCGTTATACATGCATGCTCTTCCACTCGTTATACATGCATGCTCTTCCACTCGTTATACATGCATGCTCTTCCACTCGTTATACATGCATGCTCTTCCACTCGTTATACATGCATGCTCTTCCACTCGTTATACATGCATGCTCTTCCACTCGTTATACATGCATGCTCTTCCACTCGTTATACATGCATGCTCTTCCACTCGTTATACATGCATGCTCTTCCACTCGTTATACATGCATGCTCTTCCACTCGTTATACATGCATGCTCTTCCACTCGTTATACATGCATGCTCTTCCACTCGTTATACATGCATGCTCTTCCACTCGTTATACATGCATGCTCTTCCACTCGTTATACATGCATGCTCTTCCACTCGTTATACATGCATGCTCTTCCACTCGTTATACATGCATGCTCTTCCACTCGTTATACATGCATGCTCTTCCACTCGTTATACATGCATGCTCTTCCACTCGTTATACATGCATGCTCTTCCACTCGTTATACATGCATGCTCTTCCACTCGTTATACATGCATGCTCTTCCACTCGTTATACATGCATGCTCTTCCACTCGTTATACATGCATGCTCTTCCACTCGTTATACATGCATGCTCTTCCACTCGTTATACATGCATGCTCTTCCACTCGTTATACATGCATGCTCTTCCACTCGTTATACATGCATGCTCTTCCACTCGTTATACATGCATGCTCTTCCACTCGTTATACATGCATGCTCTTCCACTCGTTATACATGCATGCTCTTCCACTCGTTATACATGCATGCTCTTCCACTCGTTATACATGCATGCTCTTCCACTCGTTATACATGCATGCTCTTCCACTCGTTATACATGCATGCTCTTCCACTCGTTATACATGCATGCTCTTCCACTCGTTATACATGCATGCTCTTCCACTCGTTATACATGCATGCTCTTCCACTCGTTATACATGCATGCTCTTCCACTCGTTATACATGCATGCTCTTCCACTCGTTATACATGCATGCTCTTCCACTCGTTATACATGCATGCTCTTCCACTCGTTATACATGCATGCTCTTCCACTCGTTATACATGCATGCTCTTCCACTCGTTATACATGCATGCTCTTCCACTCGTTATACATGCATGCTCTTCCACTCGTTATACATGCATGCTCTTCCACTCGTTATACATGCATGCTCTTCCACTCGTTATACATGCATGCTCTTCCACTCGTTATACATGCATGCTCTTCCACTCGTTATACATGCATGCTCTTCCACTCGTTATACATGCATGCTCTTCCACTCGTTATACATGCATGCTCTTCCACTCGTTATACATGCATGCTCTTCCACTCGTTATACATGCATGCTCTTCCACTCGTTATACATGCATGCTCTTCCACTCGTTATACATGCATGCTCTTCCACTCGTTATACATGCATGCTCTTCCACTCGTTATACATGCATGCTCTTCCACTCGTTATACATGCATGCTCTTCCACTCGTTATACATGCATGCTCTTCCACTCGTTATACATGCATGCTCTTCCACTCGTTATACATGCATGCTCTTCCACTCGTTATACATGCATGCTCTTCCACTCGTTATACATGCATGCTCTTCCACTCGTTATACATGCATGCTCTTCCACTCGTTATACATGCATGCTCTTCCACTCGTTATACATGCATGCTCTTCCACTCGTTATACATGCATGCTCTTCCACTCGTTATACATGCATGCTCTTCCACTCGTTATACATGCATGCTCTTCCACTCGTTATACATGCATGCTCTGCTCTTCCACTCGTTATACATGCATGCTCTTCCACTCGTTATACATGCATGCTCTTCCACTCGTTATACATGCATGCTCTTCCACTCGTTATACATGCATGCTCTTCCACTCGTTATACATGCATGCTCTTCCACTCGTTATACATGCATGCTCTTCCACTCGTTATACATGCATGCTCTTCCACTCGTTATACATGCATGCTCTTCCACTCGTTATACATGCATGCTCTTCCACTCGTTATACATGCATGCTCTTCCACTCGTTATACATGCATGCTCTTCCACTCGTTATACATGCATGCTCTTCCACTCGTTATACATGCATGCTCTTCCACTCGTTATACATGCATGCTCTTCCACTCGTTATACATGCATGCTCTTCCACTCGTTATACATGCATGCTCTTCCACTCGTTATACATGCATGCTCTTCCACTCGTTATACATGCATGCTCTTCCACTCGTTATACATGCATGCTCTTCCACTCGTTATACATGCATGCTCTTCCACTCGTTATACATGCATGCTCTTCCACTCGTTATACATGCATGCTCTTCCACTCGTTATACATGCATGCTCTTCCACTCGTTATACATGCATGCTCTTCCACTCGTTATACATGCATGCTCTTCCACTCGTTATACATGCATGCTCTTCCACTCGTTATACATGCATGCTCTTCCACTCGTTATACATGCATGCTCTTCCACTCGTTATACATGCATGCTCTTCCACTCGTTATACATGCATGCTCTTCCACTCGTTATACATGCATGCTCTTCCACTCGTTATACATGCATGCTCTTCCACTCGTTATACATGCATGCTCTTCCACTCGTTATACATGCATGCTCTTCCACTCGTTATACATGCATGCTCTTCTTCCAAGTGCATCCAAAACTCATCTCGTTACAAGGTCACACACTGCACTGCACACTGCACACTGCACACACACCCACACCCACACCCACACCCACACACCCACACACCCACACACACACACACACACACACACACACACACACACACACACACACACACATACACACACAGCGCACCTGGAGTTCCACTCGTTGTAAGTGTTCTCCTGCGCAAACGGGTTTCGGATCCCGCTCGATCTCCTTCACGATCCACCCGGCCTCCCCGACCGCACAAGGTAACACACCCACACACACACACACACACACACACACACACACACACACACACACACACACACACACCCACACACACACACCCACACACACACAGCACAGCACACACCCACCTGTAGTTCCACTCGTTGTAAGTGTTCTCCTGCGCAAACGGGTTTCGGATTCTCTCAATCTCCTTGACGATCCACCCGGCCTCCCCGAGCGCGTCGCGGCTGCGGTTGCTGATTTCGCGCGACACCAGCGCCACCAGGTCGTGGCGGCTGCCACTGCGCCGAATGCTGTGCCCCAGCACGATCGCGCCGCACACGTAGAACTCCGAGGTGTGCAGAACGGTGGCGTACGCTACTGAGCCCACTGCGGGCGGGTCTGGTAGCAGGGAGCAGGGGGGATGGTGGGGTGGGGGGAAGGGTGCGGGGGAGGAGAAAGCGAGGAGGAGAAGATGAGGGGAGAAGGTGAGAGAAGGTGAGGAGAAGGTGAGGAGAAGGCAGGAGGTTCAGGCAGGTGAGGGGGAGTTGACATAGTTGGCAATAGGAGGAAGGAAATTCGATATTGAGTAAAAGGTGAGAGGAGGAGAGACATAGTGGCCGCTCAATGCACTTAACCTAGAGCCCACTCTTGATTACCTTGTCTGGTTGGCTGAGCCATGCCGCAGGACCCCAGCGGCTGAATTTTCGGTGCCACGTCAGCAGCTGACATGTTGAAGAGCCACGCGGACCCCTGGTTGCGGACCAATCGGCTGCAGTGGAAGAGATTCGGCGGCGGGCGACACGGGGAGATGAGCAGCAGCGGCAGCCATGGCTTGTTGACCTGGCTCAGGCAAAGAAATGCAAAGGCAGGCGGAGAGACAATTAGAATTCCCAAAGCGACACGAGATGAGCAGCAGCGGCAGCCATGGCTTGTTGACATGGCTCAGGCACAAACTGACGAAGAGACAGAGCGAAGAGACTGGCGGAGAGCCAGCGCGCATGGGCGAGCCACCAATTGATAAATTGATTAAAAAAAACGTGACGCACATTTTTTTCTAGTTTCGAAGCGTGACGAATATCACCAGAGGCATACTGCGCATACTACGCACCTTGGTAACCATTTCGGCGAGCAGAAGCATCTGATGCATCCAGCGAATATCCTTCGCCAGCATGTCGATCGGCTTGTCGCACGGGACGCGTGCGACGATCGCATCCACGTCGCCCAACCACGACGGCGTTTCATTCTGCGGGATTTCCGGGCAGGACGTCGCCACCGATTGGTTGACCCATTCAGGATAAGCGTCCTTCCATTGTAGATGATCCGGTACGGCCGTTACAGGTACTGAAAGAAACTCGTACGGAGACGCGTACGATCGTAAGCCAGTACCATCATCCAGATTAAGAGACGCGATGCGACGTAATTTCAATCCGTGTTGACGGTCCCATGAACTAAGAATCGACAGCGCGTGCCGTCCGTCGATACCCGGAGAGGAAACCAACGGTCGGATGGGAAGGATATCTTGAAGGATCGAACGGCACGTGGTGGTGCTGCATGTTTTGCAAAGAAAAAGCGCAATCAGCGCCGCCAGAAGAATTAGGAACAGCCGAGATTTGCGTTTCCCGCTATTACTAACACCAGTACTCGCAGCACTGATTACCGTGCCATCTAGTAAACGAAAAACAGACGTAGCGAATCGTGGCCTGATATTCGGAGAGATCAACGGAGACATTCTTATTCCTTTACAGGGCTGAGGACTAGTTGAATTAGTGGGTCTGACCATAGGAGACGTGCTCGGGGTTCCAGTTCCATTGGTCGACCGGTACCCAGGAGGGGACTTCATTGCTTGAAAATCAGAAACCGATCATGGACGGGGTAAGACCTCTTGACGTAGTGGTTTCTTGAACTAGCTTTTCTTCTGATGTAAGTAGATGTGTTTGTCCTAGTAGCACCGGTAAGCGAGTTGCTTGTGTTGAACTTGTCGAGAGAACAGAAACAACCCCTGTGGAATGAACAAGAAAAGGAATGGTTATCCACTGAACTGAACTTCACTGTGAAGACAGGTGGCAATTTCAAAATAGGTACTGTAGCAGACTGTTGGCACCCCAGAGAAGCAACAAGGGCGTAAAGAAGGGCCATTCTTGCTGGTGCGGAAAGACGCAGTAGCAGGCGAACGCAAGCGAAAGGGCCTGTGTGTAACTTGCGAGGGGGCGAGACCCGAACCAATGGTGCTAGGTTGGAAGGGGGAACAAAAGAACCAGACGTGGAAGAAGCGGGGAAGGGCGCCTAGATGTGAGAGGACAGTGAAGGCTCGGTTGAGACGGGAATGTACCCCTAGTGTTCAGGAAGTAGGCTGTTGGAACTGGATCCTCTTACACCGACAGTTTCCTCCATGGTTTTTGCAACCATTAGTTTCCGGACACTTTTAAGTTTTGTCCTTCACAACTCCCTCTAACCTGTCACGCCACTTAGGTAAAAATAGGCCTGTGCTGACATTCGCTTTGAAACATCTTCTCTGGGACATCTAGATTCTGAGAGGTCACAGCGACGCAGTGTAGACAAGCAGAGGATAACTCGATAAATAAACCTGGAAACCGAATTTCGTACCGCTTAACGTAACAGTGCATTTTTTACACCCTTGCCGGGGTGGCGGCTGCCTGCTTGTGTCAAGTCGAGTGAACCGCATGTGATGTGACACAAGCGAGTGAGCGACTCCGTTTCGTTCCCGAGGAGGCGCGGGAACAGTTCCAGTGCACCTCTGCCGAAGCCAAATCAAGACATGACTTTGGCTGACACGTTTGCGTTGGTCAAAATTCCGATCCGCGTGAGGTGCGAGGTGTGCACTGATTTGCTGCTTTCAACTGACCTGTCTGTGTATCTTCTCGACTTGTGTGCACTGTACTAGTGGACTGTACAGTTCATGCGTCAACCCCTGTCAAAACTCCATATTGAGCTCTCCGACGTGGACGTCGAGAAGTGCATAGCTTCTGTTACCAGAGTGAAGTACACACGCCTGGTTTAGTGCTCGGAAGTACACTCACCCTCAATACTGTCTCGCTCGCTAACATGCCTAACACCTTCCTCGAGGGGCAACGTGCACATCATGCGACACCGCGACAGTGACGTAGCGATCTAGGCGGTTCGACTAATTAGTCAATCTGTCCATCCCCGATTCGACAGGCGCATGCGGGCCCCTCGACCCTCAAAGCTTGCGCCTCATTCGCCCAATCAGGTGCAGGAATTATGAACAGCTTCACGATTCGGGGAATCGGCGCCCCTAATTGCCCACTCGGCGGCACAGCACCCCCACTAACCCCTTCATCCCATTCCCCCCATCCTCCCCCCTCCATCCCTCCCGATCAGCTGCCATGAATCATATGTCGCGACTCGCGAGTCGACAATGACATCACAGGGAACACAAAGCCAAGTGCCACCTAACCAAGTAGACATTGGAGACATCACGATTCACAACAACCTCGGTTTCACCCCTAGGTGATAAGTAGGTCGTTCGATCTCACAGTAACAAATTCTCGGAAGCCAGCTGTATGTGTCCTGTCACGCTTCGCCCCCAGCTACCAAGTCCTCTGACCTTAGGCGACACTTCGACGCACTACGGAAATGCAATGCGTCTGTGACATGTTCTCACAACCTTCCGTACACCTCGAGTTTTCATCATACAGACTCCATACGTCTCTAAGCCGTCGCCAGGGGCAAGTGCTGTATAGCTATTACCATAATAGTCTGTTTTATTAGTATAACCTCAGCCATGTCGACCTCACCCACCCGGTCCCCCTCCTCTCAACCTCCGTCTGACGCCGCTATAAGCATCCCCGACAAGCTGCAAACATCCAGCCCCGTTAAAAGATCAACCAGTTCCGGGCAAGCCGCGCCGGCGAAACCACCGTCACACAGCCCCAAGCGCTCGACCTCCGCTCCCGCCGCGCACGCCGTCCCGCTCGGCAACAGTCCCGGCGCCTCCTCCGTCGCATGGCTGCGCGACACGTGGCACGAGCACGCCAACCGCTCATTGGCGCTCGCTACGAAGCTCACCGGGTTTCAAGGTTGTCCGTCTCCCGTTGGAACCCCTGGTTCCCTGACCAATGGCGCTGCATTCTCCTTTCCGTCGTCCTCTCTCTCATCTTCTCTCTCGTCTTTCACTAAAAGTAGTTCCTTCTCCAGTAATGCCGGTTCTCTTTGTGGAAAGAAGCGGCTCGCAAGCTCCCGGGAAATCTGGGTCGTTCTCCTCTCCTTCCTCTCGCTGCTTCTTATCGCCGACATGCTGCGAAAGAACCACATGTTACTGTTACAATCCGCGACCGTCGGAATCAAGTTCCTCTTCGTGCTCTCGCGCGAAAGCGTGTACGCGCGTGGCTTGCGCGTGCTCTCCACGTGGGAGATGGACTCCGGAGTGCGCTTCGCCAACGTGGCAGTGGTCAACATGGAGGATGCGGAAATCGCGCGTTTCAATGTTACGCGTCGATTAATCCCCTTGGCGGTTCCACACGCGCCGGGCCATTTAGAGTGGAATCACTTATACCCAGAGTGGATTAACGAGACGCTGCCAAACAGCTGCCCGTATCTGCCCGAGGCGCGCTGGCAGAGCGGGCGAAAGCAGGCGGACGCGCTATTGGCTCGAGTGGAATGTCGCGAGCCGGTATCCGGATGGGCGAAAGACGTGGAGTGGCAGCACATGTTACTGTCGCTGGCGAGTCTCGTCGTTCAGGCAAGTCATTTCGTGCACGTACCGGATTGAATGCACATCGCCGTGCCTTGATGTCACCGGTCACACATTGCCAATCATTGGCAATCATACGCCTCTCTTCCCTCCCGCGGGTGCCGCCCGTTTTCCGCCAAAAGCTCCCCTCCCCAGCCCCTCCCCCTCTTCCCCCCTCCCCTTGCGTATGCCCAATATCCCTCCCCCCCCCCCCCCCTCCCCCACCCCCTCTCCCCCTCCTTCCGCCCATTTCCCCCTTCTCTCCCCGACCCCTCACTCAATTCGATTTCCATGTGCGTACCACCGACCCCCAAACCCCATAAAATTTCTGTCTTCAGGCCGATAAGCCGTGGATGCCGCTCGTCCTCATCTCCGACTGCCGGCCGCCGTTGAACCTCCTGCCGTGCGATCGGCTGGTTAAACGGGACGGGCCGGTCTGGCTGTACAACCTGACGGCCAGCGACCTTCGAACCCGACTGCAACCGGCGGGATCGTGCGGGATGGCGCAACCGACATTGACGGCCGAAGGTGAGTGAAACGCTGCTAGTAAGATTTCCAAAACACGTATTGATACCGAGACATTTTGTGACATTGACTGTGTTATGGTGTGTGACAGGACTTGACAATCTCCTTCGTTTCCCTCTGCTCACGACCGTTGAATTCATTCCAGGTAGTAGAACCGTCTGCCCCCCCTTATCCCCTCCCCGCTCCCCTCTCCCCTCTCCGCTCTCCCCTCTCCCCTATCCCGCGCCCCGTTTCCCGCCCATGTCCCCCGTCCCCTGCCAGAGCCGCCCGCTATAGGCACAGTGGCATACGCGACGGTGCTGCACACAGTTGAGAATTACGTGTGCGGCGCGATCGTGCTGGGGCACAGCATTCGGCGCAGCGGCAGCCGGCACGACATGGTGGCGCTGGTGTCGCGCGAAATCAGCAACCGCAGCCGCGACGCGCTCGGGGAGGCCGGGTGGATCGTCAAGGAGATCGACCGGATCCGAAACCCGTACGGCAGCAAGGCGTCTTACAACCAATGGAACTACAGGTACAGTAAAACAATTATCACCCATGGTAACAGCAGATCCTGTACCTGCCTGTAATTATCACCCATGGTAACAGTTATGAACGGAAAACAGAGTCATTCCTGCTTTACAACCCATGGTAACAGTTTCGCGATCCCATATTATCACCCATGGTAACTAGGCTAGTTACGTTCCCCATTCAACAACCCTTGTCACAGCAAGTTCCGGGTGATAGTAACAGCTGATAGGAGTACCAACATCTCTTGCTCCTCTTCCCCCACCCTCCCCCAACCTCCCCATCAGCAAGCTGCGGCTGTGGCAGCTGACGGATTACGCGGCGGTGGTATTCGTGGACGCGGATCTGCTGCTGCTGCGCCCCCCCTTACCTCCCCTCCCCCCTTACCTCCCCCCTCTCCCCCACCAGCAAGCTGCGGGTGATAGTAACAGCTGATAGGAGTACCAACGTCTCTTGCTCCACTCTTCCCTCCCCCACCCCCAACCCCCCCACCAGCAAGCTGCGGCTGTGGCAGCTGACAGAGTACTCCTCAGTCATATTCGTGGACGCGGATCTGCTGGTGCTGCGCAATCTCGATCATCTCTTCGCCTTCCCCGACGTGGCGGCGCGAGGCAACGATAAGACGGACTTCAACTCGGGCCTCATGCTGCTGCGCCCCTCCGCTTGCACCTTCCGCGAGCTGCTCGCCAACGTGCACACCATCCGCTCGCCCAACGGGGGTGACCAGGTGCGATGATGGGCGCTTGGGAAGGATTGTGGACGGCTGAGTGGGTTGGGGGCGGTTGGGGATGGTTGGGGATGGTTGGGGACGGGTTTTTCAATGCCCCTCCCTCTGCACCTTCCGCAAGCTTCTTGCCAACCTGCACACCATCCGCAATTTTAAAATGGTTTTGGATGGCTGTGGAGTGGTTTGGGACGGTTGGGGGTGGTTGGTTCCCCTTATGCCCTTGACGCACATCTGCTCGGCCTTTTCACACCCTTGTCCACTCCCCAAGCACCATCAAGCATCTCGCTTGCACCACTCTCCTCATCTCTCCCCCGATCCATCTCCACCCCTCTCAACCCCTCAGGGCTATCTAAACAACATCTTCACGTGGTGGCACCGCCTGCCCAACTCGTACAACACCCTCAAGCACATCTGGGCCTCCGACCCCCATGACCGAGCGCTCGAGCTGGAAATGAAGAACCGGTGGTTCTCAGAGGATCCAGCTGAGATCCACACCATCCACTACCTCGGCCGCAAGCCCTGGCAGTGCTACCGCGACTTTGACTGCACGTGGCTGTACCCGTGGGACCACAACTTCGCAAACGAAGCAGCTCATAAAAGATGGTGGGCGATGCATGACACAATGTCTGAATCCCTGCAGCAGATGTGCTGGCTGAGGAATGAGGACAAGACGGAGATGGAGTACAGAAAGAGGGGTCTTGAGGCCAAGAACGCCCCGCCGGGGTTTTGGAACTTCACAGTGACGGATCCGAGGAAGGATTATTGTTTCCCCGGGCAGAAGACGTGCATCTGGGAGCTGTACCTGGAGCACTGGCAGAGGCGGTAGGGGCAATTGGCGGGCTGCAAGGGAAGGCGGGTGGTTGATTGGTTGGTGCCGGCGGTTTGGAACTTCACTGTGACGGATTTGAGGAAGGATTACTGCTTCCCCCGGGAGAAGAAGACGTGCATGTGGGAGCTGTACCTGGAGCACTGGCAGAGGCGGTAGGGGCAATTGGTGGGGCCAGCAAGGGAAGGCGGGTAGTTGATTGGTTGGTGCCGGCGTTTTGGAACCTCACTGTGACGGATCCGAGGAAGGATTATTGTTTTCCCGGGCAGAAGACATGTGTGTGGAAGCTGTACCTGGAGCACTGGCAGAGGCGGTAGGGGCACGCGCGGTGGGAAGGTGGGGTAATTCATTGGGTGGTGACGGCGTTCTGGAACTTCACTGTGACGGATGCGCCTGGGGCGATGGAAGCGGTGGTGACAACAACTAGGAGTAATTGGGGGGGAAGTGGAAATAAATATCCCTGAATCGGGGATATGAAGAGCTGAGAAGTTGTGCTGCTGTGGGAGCGAGCTGTGCCTCATGAATCCTGCTTGGCGACTGTTTTAGGCAAAGTAGCGACAAGGGACGGGGCTCCGATCGAGCCTCCTGGATGAAAAAGGCGATATGTTTAATAGGTGCAGAGATGCAACTATGGAGCGTGCCTCTGGTAGGAAATACCATGGCTTGAGAGTTGTGGTTGCTGGAGTAGCAGGAGGACCTTCCTGCTCAGTGGAAATTCGTTGTAGAAATTCCCATGTGGTTTAGGATGTGCTAAACTCTTGTCTGATTATTGGAGTATAAAGAATATGTGAAATGTAATCTAAAAAGCGGCCCAATGTGTGGTACTGAGGGCAAGTTTGTTAAGGAACTGGTCATTCTGTATGGTACAGTCTTCTGTATCCCAACAGTTAAGATATGAATGACAGTACCATGCAAATTGGCCAGCTTTTTCTCTAAACCTGCCTCAGCACCATACATTGGGTTGGGGTCCTTCATCGGCTATACTTACAATGCAATGTTCTAGCGTCGCTATAACGAGCTCATCTCATACACTAGCATAACAAAGATGGTAGATTATGTATCAAATGTATTATTTCTCAAAAGGAATTCACAGAAGTGTCTAACATGATCCTTCGGACCTACTCCAGCAGCAAACCTACTGCGGATTGAAGGAATCTACCTAGAAAGCAACTAGGGTGCACATAACCTAGCTCATCCTACCCTAACCAAATCATACAATGTAGGTTAATTCAAGAATACACCCAATTCAGGGTCTACCCTCACTTGGTGATGATGAGCGGCCGCATCATGTCGTTCTCCTCGTGCTCCAGCATGTGGCAATGCCACACATAGCCCGGCCCACGGCTCGCGTCAAACTTGAAAGTCTTCACCCCCGACTGCTGGTAGAACGGAGTGTAAATCGTGAGCACCTGGCCGGGCTGCGACAGGGTCGTGTCCTTCCACCCGCGCTCATTCGCGTTCACCTCAACAGCAGGGCCGGTGTAGCAGCTGGGCTTGGTCTTGTCCTTGAACGAGCACTTGCCCGCCGTGTACTTGGCGATGTCGAAGGGGCGGCGCGAGATGGGGCGGTGCTGGATGAGGTGCAGGTGCATGGCGTGCGCGTCCGCGCTGAGGTTGATGATGTTCCACAGCTCCGCCGTGCCCTCCTTGGCGATCTCGGTGGCGGGGTCGTGGTGCATCTTGCCGTCGATGGTCACGCGGATGGGCAGCTGCGTCGCGGGGTCCATGATCTCCACCAGCGTGTTGAACCGCGACCGCACCGCGCTAGCAACATCCACCCGAGGAATGCTCTGCTTCGGCGAAGGGTGGATCCGGGAGGAACCCAAATCAGCAGTGCGCCCACCGTATTCACCGAAGGCAAACGACAAACGTACAACGAACAACTTGAAGCTTGCAAAAGCAGATGGTAGGGATGGGGTTGGGAGGGGACTAGAGACGTACGACGAGAGCTGGGGATGACTGGGATTAGAGACGTATGACGAGGGAGCTGGGGATGGGCGGGGGAGCTGGGGATGGGCGGGAGGGGATTAGAGACGTACGACGAGGGAGCTGGGGATGGGCGGGGTGGGGATCTTGGTCTTCTTCAGCACGAAGCGCATGATGACGCCCGTGTTGGCATCGGCGGGCTCGCCGGCGGGGTAGGGGGCGCGCGCGTCGTTGGTGAGAATGACGTCCTTGCAGTGCCCGGGCGCACCGTTGAAGTCCACCAGAATGTCCATCCGCTCGCCCGGCATCACCAGCAGCGACGACATGCGCACCGGCGCCGCCAGGTACCCGCCATCCGAACCGATCTGAACCGCGGCAACAGAAGAAATATAAAATGGATGAGGCGGGAAAACAAAAACCACATGGGAAGTTGGTTATGTACAGGAAAAATCACACTACTAGCAGAGGAAATCGCTGCATTAGTGGACAGTGCTCCATACGAGCAGCGGTTTACCTGGATAATCTCGAGGCTGGGGCCCTTCAGCGGGGGCGTGAAGTTGGGGTAGTCTCCGCGTCCCGCGCACGTGAACCTGAGGTTGTAAAAGCGCGCGTTCGACCCGCCCAGCACGCGGAAGCGGTACAGCGCGCGCCGGACCTTGAGGTACGGCCACACGACGCCGTTCACGAGAATGTGGTTACCAAAGTACTCGGGAACCCAGTTCGGATGCACCTTCGGCACGATCCCCACGTTCGGGTAGTCGATCGACCCGTTGGCGAAAAACGAGCGGTCGGCGAGAACGAGAGGCACATAGCGCCCGCTGCCGGGCTGCGGGAGGAACTGGAGGTTCTTCTCCTCGCCCTTGGGATCCACGATGATGTACGCGCCGGCCAGCCCCGCCACCGTGTTGAGCCGCGTCCACCCGAGCGCGTGGTCGTGGAACCAGATGAGCGACGCGCTCTGCTGGTTGCCGTAGCGGTAGAGGCGCGACTTGAAGGTGGGGCCGTACTCGCCGAACTGCGTGAACCACGCGTCCGGGTGCCCGTCGAAGTCGCTCGCCTGCTCGCCTCCGTGCCTGTGCACCACTGCGGAGGGGAAATGCCGACGCACAATGGCAAGACAATGCGTGAGTCGGAATGATGAGCAACGGCTAGTAGCTCCGCGCGGACGGAAATGGGGAGAAGCGGCAACGCGAGAAATATTGGTAGCCGTGCAAAGGAAGGCAATTTCTGTGGCGACGCACCGATGGGAATGCCGCCCATCTTGGGCTTGGCCATGCCGGGCATGAGCGTGAAGTCGTTGGTGAACATGTGCTGGCGGTCCAGCAGCTTGTTCTGCCAGTACTGTTGTAGAGGACTCTCCTCTACTTTGCAGGAACTGGGAGTTGTTCTAAACGATAGAGCTCTGTCTTAGCTTTCCAACGAGCCATCAAACACGCCGATCGCCTAAGTATTCTCCGAGATATAGGCGTTCACGTGCTAGGTGGTGCTCTTGAATGCAAGTAAAGAAGCTCTCTGGAATTTGTGTTCGAATGTACCTTGTACAAAGAACTCTGAGTTTCACTATGATGGCATGCAATACAAAGAAAACAGATTTATAGCATGCAAACAAGATCGAATCGCACAAGTAACCTCGAACCGCTACACTCGCGAATGTTCGAGTAACATCGAAAGGGTGAAATTCGACTCTCGAATTTCACCGATCCGAATTCTCCTTGGGTCTCGAATGTTCCTGGTGCTGCCATGTGGCACCGAATCGAATGGGTCTTCCGAAGTCAATCCTCAACCCCACGCAAACCTGCAGCTCACTCGAAGGTGAGCACAAGTCACACATTCGGTGGGTTGGGGGCATACAAACGCCCCACCACCACCTTGCTTCCAACACACGTAATCTCCAACACTCCCCCTTGCACCCAACCCACTAGGTGTGCAAACCAACATGCTCATAGCATGCACGGGATGAATCTTTAGGGGGTGGTTCCATGAGAGATTTCGCGTGTTCATCATCACCCTTGGTTGCGAAGCAAAATGCCGCGCCCTCCTTATCCGTCTCCCCAACGGCTACCGTAGCGTAGTCGTTGTACTTGGAGGGAGGACGAACCTCACGACGCTCGCGGGTCAAGGCCAATGGTAGGGAGGAAGGTGTGGAGGTAGTTGCCGCCTCGGTTGGTGACACCTCCACGACATCATCAATGCTCTCCTCGTTGTTCGCTCCCCCTCCATCGGCTTCCTTCTCCACTTGAGGTGGAGTCTCACTCTCTTCAACCTCCTCTCGTGGCGGAAGGATGAAGGTGAGTTGTTGAGTGGGTTTCTCCTTCGACGGGAACTTGTCTTCATCGAAGACCACGTCCCGAGACGTGACGACGCACTTGTCGCCCAAGTCCCACACTCGCCACGCACGCTCGTTCGCCGCAATTCCCAAGTAGATCGCCGCACGAGCCTTCGGTTGCAACTTGTGGCGAAGGGGATCCGGTACATGGTAGTAGCAAAGGCACCCAAAGGTGCGAAGGCGGGATAGGTTCGGCTTCGTTCCGGTCCATGCTTCGAACGGAGTCATTCCCGGGAGCACCTTCGTCGGCAAACGGTTGCGAATCCACGCCGCTAGCGAACTCGCCTCGCCTCACCACTCTTTCCCAAGCTTGGAGTGTTGAAGAAGAGAACGAACGGCTTCCACCAACGTGCGATTAAGCCGCTCCGCCGCTCCATTTTGTTGGGGTGTGTAGGGTGTTGTGACGTCGTGCTTAATGCCCTTGCACTTCATCCATTTCTCGAGCTCCGCATTCACGAATTCGCCACCACCATCGGTGCGAATACACTTGATCCGCTTCTTGTCATCGTCGCAAACTTCGAGCGCCCACTCTTGAATCGCCTTGACCGCATCTCCCTTAGCCTTCAAAAGTCGGGTCCAACACATCCGCGTCGCGTCGTCGAGCATCACTAAGAGGAACCGCGCTCCTCCCTTTGATGCATGCCGCATCGGTCCACACACGTCCATGTGAACAAGTGCAAGCGGGTCCTTAGCGAGGGGTGACGTTCGGCTACCGAATGGCTTGCGAGCCATTTTTCCTTCGACACACGCCGCGCACACGCCCTTCTCGTCGTCGCCGGCGATCACGTCGACTCCCTTCGCAAGTCCTTTGTTGGCCAACTCCTTGACCGAGTCGTAGTTGGCGTGTGCAAGCCGATTATGCCACGCCTTGAGAGTCGCCTTGGAGCCTTGCGCCACGTTGGATGAAGCCGCTCTCGGGTACGTCTTGAGTTGGTAGATATCTCCGTTGAGAACACCTTGCGCGAATTGCTCCCCCTTCCAAAAGAGGTTCATTTTCGCACCGTCGATCGTGGCGATCACTCCCTTCTTCGCAAGTTGCGGGATGGATAGAAGGTTCACCTTCACCCCCGGGACGTGAAACACGTTCGTCACGTCCACCGGACCGCTATCGACGATGAGGCGCGTACTCCCAACTCCGACCACCGGTAGCGATTCGTTGTTTCCGAACACGATGCTCGTGACGTCTCCCGGAGCGCCAATGTTGTTGAGGAGCGACGCCGAGTGCGTCATGTGTTGCGTTGCGCCGGTATCGAGGAACCACGCGTCGCTTGGAGTTTTGTTCCCGTTGCCGGCCACTAACACGAGCGACTCCTTTGAATCATCGGCCTCGCCGGATGCCGTGTGCGCGTTGCCCTCTTGGTCCCGCGCCATCGATGGAGTCCAATCGCTCGGCCGCTTTCGACACTCACGCCAAAAGTGTCCCGGTTTGCGGCAATAGTGACACTTGCCGCGATGCTCGCTCCCACCGGACGATTCCTTCGTTGCGTCCTTGCTCCACTTGGACTTCTTTCCGGAACTCCCTCCGGAGTACATGGCGGCACCCTCGCTCTCATTAGCGAATTGTCGGCGACGCGATTCTTCATGGAGAAGCCGACCAACCACCATTTCCTTCGTCCAAGTGTCTTGCACGCTATCGAGTGTCGTAATCACCGTCGACCACTCTTCCGGAAGGCTGCAAAGCAAGGTGAGAATCCAATCCTCCTCCGTGACCGTTCCACCGAGGTCCATGAACGTTTCCCCGAGTTCCTCCACACGAGTCGCAAACTCGTGCATCGATTCGCCCGCGCGCATCTTCACCGTGTAGAACGCATTCCGGGCTAGGATCTTGCCGTGGAGAGTCTTGTTCACGTGGATGGTCTCGAGCCGCTTCCACGCTTCATGCGCCGACGCTTCGAGCTTGATGCACATGCGCACCGAGCTCACGAGATTGATGCCGATGCGCGAAATCAACGTAGCGAACGCCTTTTGGTCCTTCTTCTTCCATGCCGCGATGCCGCTCTCATCGTCCGGCTTCTTCTCCGTTCCATCGAAGAAACCCCAAAGTCCCCGCTCCATCATGAGCACTTGGAACTTAAACTTCCACGCGGAGTAGTTTTGTCCCGTGAAAATCGGTACCGCCGACGTGTCGAACATCGTCGCGGTTGCCCAGGATTCGCCGGAATTTACAACGACACCATCCAAGGAAGTGCGGGAGGCCTCGCTTGAAGTCATCATGCGTGCTCCTTGTCGCGCGCGTAGACTCCTCCGACCAGCTCTGATACCACTGTTGTAGAGGACTCTCCTCTACTTTGCAGGAACTGGGAGTTGTTCTAAACGATAGAGCTCTGTCTTAGCTTTCCAACGAGCCGTCAAACACGTCGATCGCCTAAGTATTCTCCGAGATATAGGCGTTCACGTGCTAGGTGGTGCTCTTGAATGCAAGTAAAGAAGCTCTCTGGAATTTGTGTTCGAATGTACCTTGTACAAAGAATTCTGAGTTTCACTATGATGGCATGCAATACAAAGAAAACAGATTTATAGCATGCAAACAAGATCGAATCGCACAAGTAACCTCGAACCGCTACACTCGCGAATGTTCGAGTAACATCGAAAGGGTGAAATTCGACTCTCGAATTTCACCGATCCGAATTCTCCTTGGGTCTCGAATGTTCCTGGTGCTGCCATGTGGCACCGAATCGAATGGGTCTTCCGAAGTCAATCCTCAACCCCACGCAAACCTGCAACTCACTCGAAGGTGAGCACAAGTCACACATTCGGTGGGTTGGGGGCATACAAACGCCCCACCACCACCTTGCTTCCAACACACGTAATCTCCAACAAGTACACCTTGGTGCGCACGCCCTTCTTCGCGATCAGGATGGGCCCCGGATACGACGCCGTCTTCGCGTCCATTCCGTACGCGTACTGCTTTGTCGCGGGCAGGTCGCGGTGAAATTTCTGCGCATTCGAAACCCGGGAAATCAAGAAGAGGGGAAAATAATTTCGTCAGGATCGCAAGGTTTTACCGTAACAGGGTGCTTCACGGTAGAGAATGGCTTTTCCGTGGTATTACTCACGTGGTAGATCTGGTAGGCGCTAATCTGAAGCGTCTTCCCGCTGGCAGCGTCGACGACGGTGGGCGTGAACGAAGTGGCCATGTCGTTGACGAACTTGCAGAGCGGGTACTTGGGGAACCGGTTCTTGCACTTGGGGCCAGCGAGGGGCGCAGCTATTGACACCGCAATCAGCGAGAGCAGGCAGAGGGCGAGCAGCCCCGCCATCTTGGGACGCGCTGAGGAAGCCATTACTGAGCAGGCAGACGTGGGTAAATATATCGATCACTAGGCAAGGAACTCTCGAGGAATGTGGAGTCACGTGTCGGAAATGTGTTTCTGAATACGAAGTGAAGGACTAACAAATTTGTACCTCCTCACACAACTACCCACCACCCTGCTCTGTAAAATGTTGCTGGAGTAACATGCAGCGCGACTCGGAAACGGGTTAAGCCGCGTCGCATGTGCTTACGGGAATGGTATGGAATGGCATAGCGGCGCGGCAAGGGCCAAGGGTTGGTTTGCGTGCGTCGCGTAAATGTTCCTAATTTAGCGTGTACGGAAATGATCTGTAAAGGAGATCCAGGGTTGGGACAAAGTGAATGTAAGGGAAGCACATGGCGACTCCACATTAGCTTATGTATAGAACTGTACTCTACAGAACGTTCTCTTATGCACAATCTCTACAGCATATTCTAACCATACACAACAAAATAACATTTTCTTGAACTAGTACCTCCAGTTCAAGTTCACTTCCGCGCTTTACTTACTTTGCTTGTGCCCCATCCCTGTCATGAATTTACTGTAAATAAGCAATATATAGGCAAATAAAAATTCGATACCGGTACTTATCTACTGTTACAATCTCACCAGAGACTTAGGGTACATTCCTGTCTGGACATTTGTGTCACAAAGCGGAGGTACCGCTCTGTACCGAATGGAACCGCTTTGTTAAAACATTTCGAACTTGGGTTCGATTCGGTACAGAGCGGTACCTCCGCTTTTGTGTCCAGACAGGAATGTACCCTTAGTCAGGATCTTGCTCAGAATTGATCGCAGGGTGATTCGCGGCAGAAGTGAATAAATGAAGCCTGTCAGAGTGTATCTGATATGATAGAAGTGTCAAAACACATTTCTGTTCATTTCACTCTAGGTTCTGTAGGGGTCATTCCTTAGAGGGTACAACCCATTCCTCTCGATAGTCTTGTACCTCTCCCTCTTACCTAATCGACATTCCTTCACCTAAGTCCTACTTCTAACATGGTATTAAGAGCGAAATGGTCCTTAGGACCAGATTTTTAAACGGGCCCACCATTACATTTTCGATCTGCTGCCCGAGGCGCGCCCCTAGGAACGTCCCGTCTTTTTTTTCCTACGCGAAACGCGCCCTAGGCGAGACGATTTTCCTGCCCTAGGCGCGTCCCATCCCCTAGGCGAGACGATTCTTCTGCCTAGTCACGCGCGCCCCTCTGCCCAGGCCTTGCGACGCCCTGTCCTACAGCCCGCACGCTGCGCCCGCTGCTTGCGCGCTGCCCCTGCTGCTCGCGCGCTGCATTTGCTGCCCGCGCGCTGCTAGCCCTGCCCGCGAATTGCTAGCGCACTGCTGCCCCAGAGCTGCTGCTGCGCCTGAGCTGCTACTGCGCCTGAGCTGCTGCTGCTGCTACTGCTGCTGCTGTGCGCCTTCTCCTGGGTGCTACTGCTGCTGCTACTTGCTGCAGCTGCTCCTCCTTGCCACTTGCTGCAGCTGCTCCTCCTTGCTGCTGCTGCTGCTACTTGCTGCAGCTGCTCCTCCTTGCTGCTGCTGCTGCTGCTACTTGCTGCAGCTGCTCCTCCTTGCTGCTACTGCTGCTGCTACTGAGCGCCGGCTTCTGCTGCTGCTGCTGCTTGCCGCTGCTGCTCCGCCACTGAGCCCGAGCCGCACCGCCCTGTCGAGCCGCGCCGCCCTGACCGAGCCGCGCTGCCCAGCCCGAGCTGTAACTGCTGCTGCTACTGCAACTACTGCTGCTACAGCTAGTGCTACTGCTGCTACTGCTACCACTGCACTTGCTACAGCTACTACTGCTGCCACTGCTACTGTTGCTATGGCTAACCTGTCAGTTCTTACGTTCGATGCTGAGGGCCGCGCGATTACCTTTGATGTCTGGCTCGACGATCTCCAGCTGTTCCTGCAGAGCGAGTCTAAGGATGGTGTTTCCCTGTTTTTGCACACTGAGGGAAAGCTCCCAGCCCCTGCTGCCGACGCTGTAGAGGATCTGTCTAAGTGGCTCATGCGTGATGCAGCTGCCCGCCTTGCTGTCCGCAACCACCTGCCAGTCACTGAGCGCGCGCACTTTAGCCGGCAGAAAACGGCCAAGGATCTCTATCACGTTGTCGTTGCTCGCTATTCCTCCCCAGCTACTGCTGCTGTAGGCCGTCTCATGCTGCCGTACCTGCATCCCGATCTAGCTGAGTTCCGCACTGTATCTGACCTCTTTACCCACCTCCGCTCTAGTGAGGATCGCTTCCGTGCCGCTCTCAAGCCGGCCTTCTCGCTAAGAACCCCCCCCCCGCAGTACTTCACCCTGTACTTTCTTATCACTCGCCTCCCTGACCCCCTTCGCACTGTCCGGGACCAGTTCCTAGCCATGGACCCCACTGAGCTCACACTTGACTCACATGAGCAGTCCCTTCTCGAGGCTGAGAAGAGCACTGTCGCTGTCGCTGCCTCTCGTGGCACTCCCCGCTCCCCCTTCTTTGAAGGGTGTACTCCCTCCCTTCTCCTCCCCTCAGTTGCTACCACTGCTGCAGTCGACCTCCTTGGTGCTGAGGACGTTGGCGCTGCGTCTGCTCCCAGTGGAAGGCGCAACAACAGCAAGGGCAGAGGGGGCAGGGGTGGTGGTGGTGGCAGCAGCGGAGGGGGTGGCGGGGGTGGTGGTGGGGGTGGTGGAGGCTCTGGGGGTGGCTCTGGGGGTGGCGGCAGTGGAGGAGGAGGACAGGGTGGGGGAGGTGGCGGTGGTGGGGGAGGCGGTTGGGGTAGCGGGGGCGGCGGAAGAGGTCGGGTGGGTCTGGCAGGGGTGGTGGCGCTCGTGGACCCTCCCGTGGCTACGGGAGTGGTCAGCAGCTGCCGCGCCTCCCGGACAACCCCACCGACCAGCAGCTCCGTGAGTGTGTTCTCCAGCGTGGGGGCTCTGGTCGCTGCCCTTATGTCCGACGCACGGGGCCTCTGAAGGGCACAGTCTGCGGGAAGCCGCACACTGAGTACAAGTGCTTCGGCCGTCTTGAGGACGCCTGGGTGACTGAGTACACCGAGGACCAGCAGGTGCCGAACTGGCTGCAGCTGATGGGGAAGGGGGTAGATGTGTTTGCTCTTGACTTTGCTAAGATCAATGCTGCTCTCTATGCCATGTATGTTGCTGATTATTGTGTTGAGGGTGCGTGTTACTCGTGTGTACCGTGCGATGCTGGTGGTGGTGCTGCTCCTCCAGGTGCTAGTGAGTCTGCTGCCGCCCTAGGTGCTAGTGTCGCTACTGCCCCATGCTAGTGAGTCTGCTGCTACTGCTGAGGTCTTGCACACTTTCACACTTGACTCTGGTGCGTCACGTTGCTTCTTTCGCGACTGCACCACTGTCACCCCACTCACTACACCAGTCCCAGTCTCACTGGCGGACCCCTCTGGGGGCCCGGTGGTTGCACGCCACTCCACTGTCCTCCCGTGCCCAGCTGTCCCCTCTGGCTCTCTGTCAGGTCTCCACCTCCCCTCGTTCTCGACGAACCTGGTGAGCAACCCAGGATGTATGGGTTGACACCTTTATTCCTGGAGGTCAGCGTGTGGTGATCTGCACATGCTCCAAGACAGGCCGTCACCTGGCTACGTTCACACGACAGCCGGGGTCGAACCTGTACACACTCACCACAGCGCCTGCACAGGTAGCTGCGTCTGGTCAGGTGGCTGCGTCTGGTCAACTCGCTGCGTCCTGCTCGTGTCGCCTCCTCACCCACCCTGCTCAGCTTTGGCACCACTGTCTTGGCCACCCGTCGCAGCTGCGTCTGCGCGGCATGCACTCCCGTCTCCTGGTCTCTGGCCTCCCTGAGACCCTGCCCCCCCTCCCGCGCTCGCTTGCGCCGCCGTGCCTTCCTTGCGTCGAGGGGCGGCAGCGCGCCGCTCCTCACTCCTCCGAGTTTCCTCCGACCACTGCTCCTCTGCAGACTCTCCACCTGGACGTGTGGGGCCCGGCCCCCGTCGGTAGAACGGACCAGGAGCGCTACATCCTGCTAGTTGTTGACGACTACACACGCTACACCACCGTCTTCCCCTTGCGGCGAAAGGCGGATGTCAGTGGTGTCTTGATCCCCTGGATCCGTGCTACTCGTCACCAACTGCGCGAGCGGTTTCGGCGGGACTTTCCAGTCCTGCGTCTGCACTCTGACAGGGATGGTGAGTTCTCCTCTGGCGTCCTTGAGACGTTCTGCCAGGATGAGGGCATTGCCCAGTCGTTCACGCTTCCGGCCTCTCCGCAGCAAAATGGGATCGCTGAGCGTCGCATTGGCCTGATCATGGAGGTTGCTCGTACCTCCATGATCCATGTGGCTGCTCCCCATTTCTTGTGGCCGTTTGCGGTCCGATACGCCGCGCATCAGCTCAACCTCTGGCCCCGTGTCTCTGCTCCAGAGACCTCGCCCACACTCTGTTGGACGGGACAGCCTGGTGATGCGTCGTCGTTTCGGGTCTGGGGCGCGCTCTCTCTTGTTCGCGATACCAAAGCGAGCAAGCTCTCTCCTCGCACTCTCCGCTGTGTCTTCCTTGGCTTCCCCACCGACGCTCCACCCTGGGAGTTCTACCACCCTGCCTCGCGTCGTGTTCTGTCCTCTCAGGACGTCACCTTCGACGAGTCGGTCTGTTACTACCGACTTCACCCGCACGCGTCCCACCCGGTCCCCCTCGCACCTCTCTTCCTGGTACCAGTCCCCCCCCCGGTAGACCCCCTTCCCCCACAGGGTCCTGCTCCCTCAGGTGTGTCCCAGGTAGACCCACCCCCCTTGGATGAGCCAGTTGAGATATCTTCTGACTCCTCTGACTCAGCTGAGGGGGGTGACGCCGTCGCCGACGACACGGCGACCACTCGACGCACTCCTCGCTTGGAGACCCCCCCAGGTTTCCCGCCACGGCCATCTTCGCCTCCTCCGCAGCCTGCTGCTGTGGACTCTGGGGCTGAGACTACTGGAGCTGGGGCTGGGGGTAGTGAGTCTGGGGGTGCCCGCTCTCCTCGTCTGGC